ACTCGGCCAGGAGGACTGGCCGCATCGTTGCACGCGGGCCGTCCCGTCTGGAGCTGGGGAAGTAGCCACGGCCAAGTCCTTGGGGCTAACACTCTCCGTCCCCGTGGTGCGGAAGTGCCGCGTTTTACCCGCCGACCGGGAGACGGTTTCCAGGTGGGAACCGAGTGGGCTAGACGGGGCCTGAACACAGCCGCCAAACTCCCGGGGCCCTGGCCACTCCCCCCTACCCCGGCCACCCTGTCACGCCGGCTGCCTCCCTCCCCGAGGACATCGAAAGGGCTACTCGTGAACCTGCCTTCTGGAGGGACCCCCGCTTTTTTAGTTCACGTCTTCTTACTCCTTCAAAGCTTTCCCTTAAAGATGTTATGTACTGAACCCTCAGAGGAGCCCCGAAGAAAGAAGAGCCCCCAGCACTGTGCCCATTTCTCAGATGTGTGTCCCACGGGAGCTCTGGCCGGGGCCGAGGCCGCGGCGGCAGGCCGTCTCCGGTAGGGCCGGCGGTCTCAGGTGGGGCCTGCAGTCCGGAGCAGGGCGGGAGGCCCCCGGCCCTGAGGTCCCTCGTGTCCTGCTCAGACTGTGACCGCCGCCCCCGGGCCGCAGACGAGGCAGCTGGGACACCGAAGGGCCGCTCCGTCCCCATCCAACACCGACTCACTGCTCGCACTCGCAGGGACGCAGTACAAAACAAGCCCGAAAGCACCCCTTCCGGAGCGGCGCCGGGGTGCTTGTCAGTAGTGGGAAGGCCTTCTCTCCACACATCCCTCGCCCCCCCCCCACCCCCCACCCCCCACCGCACCTCGGCCACCGCACCCCGGCCACCGCCGCAAAGTGCGGGCTGGACGCTCGGGGCTCACTGCCGGGCTGGGAGTCCTACTGGCTGTGCGTGAAGTGATACAACAGTGAGTGTCGGGGGCAGCAGGCACATTGTGGACTCTTTAACCAACGTCACCCACTTCACCACGAAATGGAATGGACCCACAATGAGAAAGCAAATGTAGCGGAAAAGTCACAATCCTTGTGAGCCACGACTCCTTCCCTTCCTCGGCAGACTCTCCTCGTCCTTGTGTCTCTTCCGCGTACGCTTCCGTCCGAGGGTCATCCCACTCGATGATACGTTGTAAGCGCATTCCCACGTCCGCAGTCTCCAAAAACCTTACCTAATCACAGACTATTAACCGCATTCAGATGTTCTCCATGTGAGGCCTTTTTTCTTAAAGAAGCATTTGTGCATAAAGCATCTCTTTCCCTTCACGTCTACTAACACTTCCCTGGGCTGGACTCCCCAGGGCGCCCGTCCGAAGGGGTCCCCCCCGGCTGCGGATGAACACGCCTTCCTCCTCCGGCCGCTGCACCCCCAGCCCAGGCCTGGAACGTCGCGCCTCCTGCTGCGCCGGCAGGATGGATACATAAATGCTTCCTACTCTGCGGCTTGCACGCGTTCCCTATAGCTCGCTTGGCTCAGAAGAAAACTATAAAGTAACAGTTCCGTGTGTGTACCAGGAAGATTTTTACCCGACGACCCACGACCCACGGTGTTTATTTTCGCAGCGCGGCACGCTCAGCGTCCGCAGGCTGACTTCCAGACGAGCGAGCAGATCGGGGCGGGCGAGGTGCAGGGAGGCCCCGCACGGGGACGGGCCGGGAACGGAAAGTAAAACCTCCTCGCGCACGCCGCCTGCCGCTTCCAGGTGCTTTGATCGCCGGCCTCAGTCGCCCGGCGACTTTGTTGCCCCTGAGTATCGTTCACAGACGTCAGTGGCTTTAAAAGCCCCGAGCGTGGTTTTTCAGACAGGACCGAGTGTTGTTACTGTTCTCTTTACAAAACAGTCTTCTCTTTTTTTAAAAAATGGTTTTTAAATTTTTCAGTTACAGTTGACATTCAGCATTTGATGCGTTTCAGGTGGACAGCACAGGGGCTCGACACTGATATTGGTTATAAAGTGGTCCTCCCAGCCTTCAGGTCCTTCGACCTTGACACAACACGGAGTTCAGGTCAGTTTGCTGCACTGAAGCTGGGAATTCAAACACGGGTGGGATGCCCCCCCCCCCCCCCGCCCGCTGCACGGCCACCCAGGACAGCGTGACGAGGCAGGGCCCGCGCCTGCGTCTCGTCTCTGCGGTCAGGGCCGGCTGGGGGCAAGGCAGGCGCGTGGAGGGCAGCTCCGACTTGGGGGTGTCTCGTTCCCGGGGCCTCGCCGGCATCGCGCCAAACCCGAATGAAGCCAACCCTTTCACTGACACTGCGGGGGAAATGTCGTTTATGTAGCTGGCTGCAGGACACTTGGGTTGTGTCGGCATGAGGACACTCCAGAGCTCACACGTGTTCCCAGGACGGGAACACGCTTGTTCTGTGCGGAACACATTCGACCTCAGGTGCGGTGGCCGCCGCATCCAGGGAGGGACGGGGTGTGGACTCAGCCGACGTCGTGCTCGAAATGCCAGAGCAGGTCGGGGGCGTGATGAGGCCCGAAGGGACCACATGGGGTCCCGGGAAATGACAGGAAGGTCCGTGGTAGGAGCCAGGAAGGCCTTCAGGAAGGGCAAGTTGTGCTGAGGCCGGGATGGAGGAAGAGCAGGGGACCCGAGGGCAGGGGGTTCCCGGGGCCGCCCAGAACCACACGGGCCGTCAGCTGGCCGCAGGAAATGCAGCCGGCCACGAAGCCCAGGCCAGAGAGGGACACGGGCCAGGAAAGCCAGGCGTGTCCGCGATGCGGCAGAAAATACGGGGCGTCTGGGAAGTGCGGGTGCAGCTGCCGGAAAGGAGCGGGGCGGCGTGGGCCCTGAGAAGGAAGACACCGACCGACCGGGAAGGGCTCCCGGCGCGAACCGGGCTCACACGGAAAGGCGGAGCCCAGCAGCCCCTGCCAATCCAGGGCCCCTGGTGCAGACGGTGCCTCGGGCCTAGGAGGAGCCTGGCCCCAGGGCTGCCCTCTCCGACCCCGGTGTGCTGGGCGCCCGGCCCTGCTGCAGCAGCCCTGAGCTGTCTACACGGACCGAAGTTCCTGTCCTCACCGCACCCCGGGCGGAGCATTCCTGCTGGCCCTGAATCGATCTTTGGTTGGCAGAGGCAGTCGAGATACTCCCTGGGTGCCGGACAGAGCAGCTGGAGGACAACGCATGTCAGGACCCTACGCTGGGACACGGAGACACGGCCGGGGGCAGAACTCACACGGGACAGGTGCCGGTCGGGGAGAGGCCTCTCTCAGCCAGTCTTCGGGGGGCCCCTGTCCGTGGGAGACCCGGCGGGCGCCTCGGACGTGGAAGGCAGGCGGGGAACCGGCAGTGTCAGGGAGCAGGCGCAGGGGGAGCAGGAGACAGGTGGGTGGGGAGCTGAGGGGAGCGAGGGACGTTTCGCCCACGTGAGCCCAACGTCCAGGGAAACGGTCGTCACGGAGTCTTGTAGGGAAAAGTGTGAATTCCTCCACACCAAACCCCTCGTTTTACACATAAATAAAAGCCCGAGGACTTTTGCATCTGAACTGACACCCAGCGGAGCCGAGCCACTCCTCGGTTGAGCCCAAACAACAGAGGTGACAGAGAAGGGGGTGCGCGCTCCCCACGTGGGCACGAACGTCCCCAGCTCAGCTCACTCACGGCAGCGAGTGGGAGCGGCCACTGGGGGCAGTGGGCACAGCGCAGGGACTGGGCCGGGACCTGCTTCCGTTCGGGCCGGCGCCGCTGGTCACTCTGGGCCCCGGTCCCCCCCAGAAGGGGCCAGAGGAGGCTAGGGGCTGCTCAGCACACAGAGGAACACACGTCTCCAAGTCTGTCCCAATCATCCGTCCAGGGAACTGTGCGGGCCGATACACCATTTTTAAATGGTCTAGTGTCCGCATTTACACAACAGGACAAACCAGCAAGGAAAATCAAGGTTCGTGGTATGTTTTGCTCAAGCCAAGGGGGCCCGACTGAGACCCCTCAGCGCGTGAGCAGGATACAGGCGCCTGCTGCTGGGACGCTTCACACTCTGTGCTCCACCCCGGTCTCGGGGCTCGGAGGATGCGTTCCACACCCATAGCATGGCTCCCTGGGGAGCAGGGGGGGGATGGCTGAGGCCGGGGCCAGCCCCTCTGCCGCCCCCCCCCGCCCGCCCGCCCGCCCGCCCGTGCTTGGTTCCTACTGTGCCAGGAAGGGGTCCCGCCCGCCCCAGATAAACACCGCCCTTGAGAGGGCAGCCTTATCTGCGGGCCAGCGGGGCGCGGCCAAGGCCTCCGAGGAGCGGCCCCCCGAGGGCAGAGCTCCTGGTCCCGGGGCAGGCTGCACCCGCTGCCCGGGGCCAGGGACGGAGGGAAAGCAAGGTCACTGCCAAGGAACCATGGCTTCGGGCCAAAGGAGAAAAAATCCCGGGGGTGATTCAAGTACGAGCAGACACGGGCTGGTCTTCCCTCGCGGCGGGAAGAGCGCGCTCAGCGGGGAACAGGCTGCGCCTGGCACGGCCCAGCGCCCAGCCCGGGGAGTGGCCGTGCCCGTGTTTACGCGCCAGACGGGAGGGCGCGCACCTGAGATGCCGAGCTGCTTTATAAATGGGGCGCACGGACGTTACGAGATATTGCTGGAGGGAAAGGGGCCCCTCTGTGTCCCCTCGGGCTGTTTTTACTGGAGGGAGACGGGGATCCACAGGACCCCGAAAGTTGAAGAGGTTAACGCCTGCCCTGCTGCTTCCAGAAGACCCCTCGCCTCGCCTGGTTCTGGGCGCCCCCTCGCCTCGCCCTCCCCCCACTGTGCATCCCTGCGTCTGCCTTTGGAAGTGCCGGGCTCCGAGAAGGTCTGGCCGAGTGAACGGGTAAATAGACGGACAAAGGAAAGAAAGGACGGGTGAGGTTGCTTCTGCACGTGGATGTCTGTGCAGGGGAAAGACGCCTGATGAGTTCAACGCACAGCAGGTGACCGCGCACCTGCCCTGGGCCTGGCACTGCGCGGCTGCGGAGGGACACAGAAATGCCCAGGTCGGGGCTGTGACTTCTCGGTGGTCCTCGCTGCCCCCGAGGCTGCACGGGTTCATGGGAGATTCCGGTGTGCCCGGCACCAGGGACCTTTCAGCCGCGTGCACAGCGGCCTGGACCCCGGCCATAAGGTGAGAGAAGCAAAGACCGGCTATTCAGCGGCCGCCTGGCCCGGGCCACCCGGGGCGGGGTCTCCCCCCTCTGCCCGGTCCAGCCCTCTCTCCAGGAGGGGCCCCGGCCCCCTGCAACCTCACTGTTGCCTCTGGGCCCTGGGAGCTGCCACGGAGCCCAGACCAGTGACACAGACCGACAGCCACGGTGCTTTTGGAAGAGGCTGTTTATCCCTGAGGACAAGGGATAGAGGTGGGCAACACCGACCTCCCCCACCCCCTCTCCTGCGACCTTCTGCTCGGACATCTGCGGGCAGCCCTGGAGGGGGCCCGGTGCGCCCCGGCCACCGCAGGAGGGCAGAGGGGCACCGGCTGAGGACAGTGGAGCCACACAGCAGCCCCCGGGTCCGCGGTGACAGCACTGAGCAGCTGCACCAACGCCAGCAGCCACGGCTTTCGTTGCCCTGTCTCCGAGGACACAGAGCCCGTCTGTCTGAGGCCTTGCTGGCTAGTGTTCTGCTGCTGGGCGAGCACGCAGTAACGCACAGTAACACACAGTAACGCGCAAGCCCCGCAAACACGCACTTCCTGACCCCGGTGGACGGGCGTCAGGGGTCCAAGTGGGCTCCCCAACAGCCACGTGGAACTCCTAGCCCCGGGACTGGGAATGTGACCTCGCTAGGGCCTTCGCAGACCGTCAAGGTCAGACGGGATCGGAGAGCGGGCCTGGCTCCCACGTGGCTGGGGTCCAGCCACCTTTGCCCGTCTCAGTCTACTGGGATGATTGCTGTGGGGACAAGCCCCGTAGCACGGGAGTGGGGGTGGGGGGGGAGGCTGATAGACAAACGACATTCACTTCTCACAGTCTCAGGGGCGGCAAGTCCAAGGTCAGGGTGCCAGCGGAGTCAGTCCTGGTGAGCCGTCACTTCCTAGAAGACAGACGGCACCTTGTCCCTGTGCTCCCATGGGCAGAGGGCCTGGGGTCCCTTTCACCAGGGCGCTCGTCACCTCCCCGCACCTCCCCCCTTTGTGGCGGAGACAGAGCGCCCTGCGTCTCCCGCTCTGCCCTGCGTGGGAGGTCAGGGGCAGGTGGGGTGCCATCGGGGTGGAGCCAGAGGCGGTTTCTGAGGGGCACGTTAGCTGACGGGATAAGACGCCTTTTCCTCCTTTCCCTGGCCTGTCCGGACCTGTCCACCACCCTGGGCCGCCCCCCAGACCTGCTCGGCTCCCGGGGCCAGGCCGAGCGCCTCCCCGAGACGGAGGGGACGGAGGGCCGTGGTCTCTGTGGAGGGAGCCAGCGCTGCGTCTCCCTCCGCACCCGAGGCCGGCGCGGCTGGGCCCTGCCGCGTGACGGGGGAGAGATACTCAGGGTCAGCCAGCGAATTCCGTTCCCGCACCACCGGCTCCGAACGTGTCCCGGACGCCCCTGGGTCCCCTCGCCCCGACGACTGACCGCCGGCACGCCGCGGCCGTGAAGCGCCGCTCGGCAAATGCATCGCTGGGGCTGAGTGTGCCCGTGTGTCCTCGGTCACAGGACGGCCGGCCTGCCGCAACCCCCCCTCCCCCAGGGCCTGCACACTCCCCAGAGCGAAGCTGCTCTTGAACCACGCACCCTCCAGATGTCTTTGAACTCAAACTTGCCCCCCAGACTGCAGGAGAGAGAAAGGGACCCGAGAAACCAGCTCCGCCACAGAGACAGCGACGGCGGCGCGGGCCGCTGTGACTGGGTCACCCGCAGGCAGGCAGGGCCTTCCGCAGCAGTGGCGGCCGCTCCGGCCCGGAGGCCACACGGACCCACGCCGCACTGCGCTCCCCAGCAGGCGCTCCTTCTAGGGGCTCGGGCCGCCTCGCTCCCCGGAGCACCCCAGGGTCACAAGGCCGAGGGCGCCCCACGCCCTCCCGTCCCCGAGGGCCCACCCACCAGCCCGACTGCCCCGTGTCCCCTGGAACAGACCCCGTGCTTCCACCCTGGGGCCTCTCTGCACCAGCAGGAGCCCCCCCGTCTCCGCGCCGCCCTGAGTCCCCAGCTGCCTGCAGGGACGCCCGCCCCCATCAGCCACCCCCTCTCCCGACGGCCGGCCCCACTCACACTCGGATGGGCAGCTCACCTCCGCTGCCGCACTGTGGGCCCTGCAGGGCGAGCCCCGTCTGTCCCTTCCCTGCACCCCGGGGTCCAGGCATGGCCTCCAGCCAGCCTGCAGGGCCACCGTCCTGGGAGCTGGGATTGGCGTCATCTGCTGCCCCCTCCGCCACAGGGCCCAGGACGGTCCCAGTCTGCCTCCCGCCTCCCGGGCCGGAGCCGCGCACTCGGACGCTGCTCAGCCTGCACCCGAAGCTGACACCCGCCCGCCCTGCGGAGGGACGGCCGCCGGGTGGCTCGGCCTCCCACAGGGAGGACACAGTGTACCCTCGGGCCCCCTTTCCCCGAACGAACCCTCCGGAACCAGGTTTCTCTGCCTTGCGCTCGGCCAGGAAACAAGAATGCGCGGAGGAAGTGCCACGCCAGGCCCGGAGGAAGCGCAAACCGAACACACGTCTGCCCTGGTGAGACTCGTGGTTTCTCGGGGGAAGTACCACGGCAGCGACAGAGACCGCCAACGGCAGAGCTGCGGTGCGATCGCAGAGGCTGGGACACCCGCCTTCGAGCCCCTGGGGTGCCAGGACTGGGTGTGGCGCCCCCCACGTCCACGACTCCCCGGCGGCGGCGGGAGCGAGGTGAGGCCTGTGCCGAGCCTGTGGGGATCACCCACGGCGGGGTGGGCCCCAACGGGGGGAGGCTGTGAGAGACAGGCAGCAGTGACACCCAGCAGTGACGGAGGCCCACATCCCCCCTGGGGGCACTCTGTGCACTTCACAAGCCGGGCGCTGCGGCGGGGGCCCGGCGGGGAGGCGACAGGGGTCAGCGGGCAGAACGATGAGGACACCAGAGGGGTCCGTGCACAGCACCCCAGACAGTCCCCCAAAACCCGCCTGGCTCCTGCTTCAGACGGCTGTGCACGAGGAGTCCCACCTCGAGAAGAGGGCGTCTGAGGCGGGGGTCTGCAGCCCCCCACCCCAGCTGGGGGGGGCAACCGGCAGGCTGCTGGGCTTTCGGGGGGATGTGGGCGAACCTCCCTGGAGTGGGGGCCACAGGAGGCACCACGGGGTGCCGTTCGGAATAACAGAGACAGGCAGACGAGCCAGCAACACAGGGCAGGTTGGGAGAACCACGGGCCAGTGGCCCCTGGCCAGCGACAGATGTCCCGGATGCAGGGACAGACCTCGAAGGGATAAAGGGACAGTCCTCGTCACCCGCACGGCCCCCAGGGCCACGGGAGTCAGAGAGAGGCGCCCTCCCCTCGGGTGGTGGGGCCGGCACAGCCCCCCCCCGGCCCCCCACCAGAGCTCCTCACAAGGCAGCTGCCCCCCAGGGCTCGGGAACAGGAGCGGCCCCCGTGCTGTCCTTTGGGAACGTGGGAGAACGGACCCCCGGCCCCGCCCAGCACTCGCCGTCGGCACCTGGAGGCAGGAACGCTCACTGAGCGTTCACAACGGTTCCCCTCCAGCGCCAGACACAAGGAGCCTATACGAACAGTAAGAAATGCAGAATGCACGAAACTGGAATGTAAGAAAGTGTCCCCCTGGCACCCAGCTTGTCTGCCTGCTCCTGAGAGCACCCCCGGCCCCGGGGGCCTGCGGGCCGTCCTGGAAGCGAGGTCCGGGCAGGGGTCCGACTCCGGGGAGAAGGAGGGTGGGAACCCCTCCCGGCCGAACCGTCCGCCCCGGAGCGCCCACCTGTCTGCACGACGTGCTGGAGACAAGCCTCCCTCCCCGGCGCCGCATGGCGCTGCGCCACCAGTCTCCGGCGCGGGGGACCCCCACCTACCACGTGCTTGTCCGGGTCCCGGAACTCGGTTTGGCCCACACCTTTGTTTTACAGCTGCAGGACGGGGGGCCGTGCAGAGGTTCAGACCCTCTCCCGGGGCCACCGAGCTGGGCCACGCAGGGAGCTGTACCTGCTCCGTCGTTCGCGCCTGGTCCCCGGCAGGCAGGCAGGTGTGTGAGCGGTTGCTTCAGTTCAAGGCGCTCCTCTAACCAGGCGGAGGCGTCCCCGCGTGTCAGTTGTGCAGACGTGCAGACGCAGAGGACGGGGGGGGGGGGTGGGCCCTGGGGACGACCCCCCCCAGCGACTCTGCTAGTCTCAGGGAAAAGCACGCCCGACTTGCTGCTTGGGTGTGAGGCAGGAGGTCACCCGGAGCGGCTGTGGAGGCACCCCACTCCGTTCACAGCCTCTGGGCCGCCTCTGCTACGCCGCACCCTGTGAATCTGGGGCGCCCCTGCTCGGCCACACGCCTGGGAGAGTCTGGGAGCTGCACACTGTCCTGAGCGGCTCCAGCCCGCAGGCTCCCAGAGCCCCAGGCAGCTGACACGCCCCTCCCCCCCCAGCTCCAGTGCACAGCAGGGACCAGCAGGGACGCCCTGGCCGGGGCCCGGACCTCTCCTCCGAGTGTCCACAGCGTCCTCCCGGTCACAGGAGCCGGGAATCTGAGAGACTGCCCGGCTCTGGTCCCCAGCCCCGGAGAACAGGCCTCCTCCAGCCTGTCCCACAAAGAGAAGGGCTCCCAGGAGGAGGAGAACCATGAATCACGGTGGAAAAACCAGGGGACGTGATGCCCAGCGCCTGCCCTGCCGAGTGGCACGTTCCCCGGAGGGGTGTCAGCCGCTGCACCCGGACTGTGCATGGGCCCCCTCCGAGTTCCGTGGAGCTCTGACTCGGGGACCCCGTGCTCCCCACCTGTGCCTCGCCGGGGGTGCCCGCTGCCCCCAGCACTTGGGCTCACCCTTCTCTAGTTCCCTTCCCCAAGTTAACGGCACGAGGTTCAAGGGCCCCTTGAAACACAAAACTTGCAGAGTCCAGTTGTGTGAACCCGGGCATTCTCCCTGCCGGCCGTCAAAGTGAGGTTGTTCCCGTCCCGCGTCCTCACGAGGACCTGGTCCACGCCGGGCCCGCTGGCGGCAGTGCCGGTGTGGGGGCCTGCCCCCCAGGCCCACGTTCCGCAGCCCTGCCCCCTCCGAAGCAGGCTCAGCTCACTCCTCCCACTGCCACGGGGTCCAGACCAGAGCTGGCCGGGAACCCAAGGATTTCTTCATTTGTCCCCATCTGCCCTCTCCGGGCATGATCTCTCCGCACTCTTAAAGAACAATTAAAGCAAAACTTACAAAGAAACTGGGGAACTGCAGAAGACAGGTCCTACCGTCGGCCCCGGGGAAGGGAGCACATCACAGAGTGCCCTGGGCTCCGGCACCACGGGACAGCCCCCCGCATGCCCCTGTGCGCCCCCTCCCCTCCTCTGTAGGCAGCGCCCCTGGCCAGCGCCCCTTCTTACCGCCTGGGAGGCTCCCCCTCAAGCGGGCTCTCCCCCACACAGCGGCCCTGGGCCTCTGCCCGGCCTCCCCTCCAGGCAAAGCCCCCAGGCATCCGCACCAGCCCCCATTCCGCCTGCCACTCACAGACACGTTTCATCTGCCGGAGAGCCCCTCGCCAAGGGCCAGCCCCGGCCAGAGTCCCTGGATGTGCCCTCCCTCGGTCCCCAGGCCCCCCTCCCAGGAAGGAGCGTCCCCTCCACCACCGGTCAAAGCAAGACTCGGGGCCACTTCCCAGCACAGGCACTGAAGGCTCCCCCAGGGCAGCAGGGCCCACTCCGGACGACCACCTGGGGCTCAGCAAGTTCCTCCGGCTCGCCCTGCCCCCCACCTGGCACAAGGGGACCACAGGCCGGGCAGAGAGGGCACTTCAGAGGGACCGTCGTGGGACCTGTCTGCGGAGACCATCAGGGCACAGTGCAGTGACCTCTTCCTCAGGGCCTGGGGCCTCCAGCCGGCTCGGCGACCCAGGCCGGGCGCCCAGGATGGTGCGGGGCAGCCAGGCTAGGACAGAAGTGGGGAGACCCGCCGGCACCGTCCCCAGCCCCTCGGCGGGGTAGGCTTGGCCGGAGGCGGGCGGCCACGGTCCTGCGGGCTCCCTGGATGTGCAAAGCGGGGACGCGCCGAACGCGCCGCCTCCCGACGCCCCGGCGGGGCGCCCTGCCCGGCCCCCGCCATCCGCGGCCTGCGAGCGGCCGCCCTCCGCCGGGCCAGCCCAAAGCCAGGGGCGCAAGCAACGCTGCAGACCCGCGCGCGGGCCGGGGCGGCGGGACCCGCGGTCCTCAAGTGTCCGCGGTGCCCAGGCCACCGCGAGGCAGGCCAGGGCCGGGGCTGCGCCCTCCGCACGGAGCCCGCGCATCCCCACGGCGGACCCCGATCCGAGCGCCCGGGACCCGGCTCCGCGCGGCCCCGTCCCTCGGTCCGCCTCCGCCGCTCCCGCCCCGAGATGCCGACACAAAGGGGACGCCGCCACCCACCTGGTCCCGCGCGGCCCGGGCTCCGGGGGCTGTCGCTGCTGCTCGGCCGCGGCAGGGCTGCAAGCGCTCCGCCCGCGTCTGGTGTCGCGGCCGGGTGTCCGCGCCGGGTTCCCGCCGCCCCGCGCCCGCGCCCCGCCCAGAGCCGCCCTTTCTTCCCGGCCCGGCCTCCAGCCGGGGCGCGCAGCCGGCGGCGAGACAGGGCGGCGGCGCGAACGGCACAAATACGCGGGCGCGGAGTCGCCAGCTCCCGCCGCCGCGCAGCGCCCCCTGCCGCCCGCCCTCAGCCGCGCGCGGGCGGGCCGGGCCGGGTCACGCTGGGCTCCGGAGGGTGGCCTGCCCCCTGCCTTGGGGGTGAGAATGACCAGGGAGGCTCCTTGCCTGGTCGCCAGCAGAAGACAGTCCCCCAATGCCGACAGCCCCCCAGTGTCAGCAGCCTGGGGCGAGGGGGCGGGCTCATAAGCAAGCCAGAAAGAAACGGGTGCGCGATCAGAGGCCCTTTCCCCACCGGCATCACGTGAAAGGTCTTCCCGTCCCCACTCCCTGGGTCCTTGGAGCCGTGGAGCTGAAGAGGGCCCACGACAATCCACGCCCCGTTGTGAGGGCCCCCACTGGTCCGAGTGGCAGGGCTTGGAAGGCAGAAGTCCTGCACGGTTCTGGGCCACCGCTTCCCCGGGGAGCTGGAAGTTACACAAGCGTCCCGGGTCGCTCAGGCGTGCACACTGGACCCAGCGTGCTGGGGTTGGGCAAGGAGGACCCCTCTCTCCAGAGCGACCGGGAACCCCCTGGCACCTTCCCTCCACACCGCCGCACCCTGCCTGCCGCAAACGCCGTACGGCGGTGGTTGCATCAGTGGTAGCAAAGCAGGAGTGTGCTACTGTGTTAGGGGAAAAGTAAAAGCACTTTCCCCGGCACCCTCCCAGAAAGTAGGGACCCTGTCTGTCCTGTGCTCCGCCGCGCCCGGCGCTGGAGGAGCGAGCCCGGGCACTCACAGGCATTGGGTGAAATAAATGCATTTGTTTTCTAGAACCTTCTGTGACTTAGTGCGTGCCTACGACTCAGGTGCAGATGCCACAGATCCTAATGGGATGCTGAGGCCAGAGAGAAAGGCTAGTCTGGTCTTCTTGTTTCACACTAGGAAACTCGGAGCTGGGGCACGGCCTTGGGGGCTGTTCCAAGGTCACGGCCAGCGAGGGGCGGAAGGTGGCCCTTGTGGCTGGACAGAGTTTGAGAAGGCCTCAGAGTTCTGCAGGAATGGCCAGATCGCATTTGGTGGCGGTCGGGCGTCCCTGCGGGCAGACACGTAACGCTCCCTGAGCATCTCTGTGCTCCGGCACGCTGCCCAGCCCGGCACTCGGGCAGGACCCTGTGACTCATCTGGGTCACCAGACGCTGGCAGGAGTGTCACTGCCGGGCTGAGGCAGAGACGACAGGCCAGGCACCTTCCTCGTGCCTGTCCCCATCCACGGCGACGGCTGAGCCACAGAATGAAGTCAGCCACGCCCCTCCATCACCAAGTCCCAGGAGGGTGTTTTAGGCTGTGTTGTCACTGCCGCTTGGTCTAGTTTTGTTTTGTTTTGTTTTAAGATTTTATTTATTTATTTCTACAGAGAGGGGAAGGGGGGAGAAAGAGAAGAGAAACACCATTGTGTGGTCTCCTTTCGTACGCCCCCACTGGAGACCTGGCCCACAACCCAGGCGTGTGCCCTGACTGGGAATCGAACTGCCAACCCTTTGGTTTGCAGCCCGCACTCAGTGCACTGCGCCACACCAGCCAGGGCAGCTGGGCCTTGTTCAAACTGACTGACACCTTCGTGGTAGACCCTCTGGAAGGGGCGGTGTGTCCGGAGGAGAGCCAAGGGCGGGGGTGCCAGGCAGGCGGAGCCCACTGTCCAGTCTCAGACCGGAGAGCCCCTGGGGGGCCGGGATCCGGGTGGGCCCCTGGAAGGAACGGGGCGGGGGCGGGCCAGCAGAAAGGATGCAGTGAGGAAGTCAGGCCTGGGTCAGGACACAGCCGCAGAACGTGGGGCACCCAGAGCTCAATCCCCGTGGAAGCGGCCCCAGGTAGAATGTCTCTGAGGTTTAAAGTAAGAAAAGGGGGTGGGAGGGGCACGGGTGTCACCCACGGAACAGAGATGGGTGAGACTGGACCGCTGTGATGGGTGCTCAGGGCCTGCACAGCCCCAGCTGTGTGGTTGGAGGGCGGAGGCCTCAGTCCCACGCCCCCGCCCCCCCCCCCGCCTTCTGGGCGGGGACGCAGCTGGACCTTGCATCAAAGGCCAATGGCTCAGTCGAGCCTGACCGTGCAGTGACGCCTCCGCGAACACCCCAGGGGAAGGAGCTTGGAGAGCCTCCGGGGGGGAGGGGGCGCACCCTGGGCCCTGGGGAAGAGTGGGGGCCTGGAGAGGAAGCTCCGTGCCCCCCCCCCACTCGGGGCCTGGGCTGCTCCTGAGTTACACCCTCTCACAATGAACTGATCTCGTAAGGGACAGGAAGGGGCTGGGGACGGTCCTCTTGTGTGCATCTGGGGGACCTGGCGCTGCCCCCAGGGCCACAGCGCCTGAGATCAGCCGAAGGGCAGGGCGCCCAGCTGGTGCGGAGCGCGGCCCGGCGTGGGAGAAAAACCACCCACGTCGGAACCGGGGTGGGGGGTGCAGCATCAGGCGCGCACAGGCCGCGCCGGCTGGAGGAAGACTAAGTCCCTTTGGGCAGTTCTCCAAATCTCCCAGGAACCGGCTTGCTCAGGGCTTTGTTTTTACGGGGTTTTTTTTTTTTAGCTGAAGTGAGTTCCCCGAACATGAGAGACACTCACATTCATAAGCGAGCAGGTAAACAACCCAAAACCAAACCGGCGTTTCCCTTTTTCAAACGCACTGGGGTGTCTGCGGCGCCGCCGGCTCCCTCCTCGCCCGCCAGCGTGGACGGTCGGGGCCTGGGTGTGCTCTCCCTGAAGCCCGAGCGTGCTCCCCGGCCTCGGCCTCGGGAGCCTCCAGAGGAGCCGGGCAAGTACAGCCGCGCGGGGCCGCGGTTCTGCTGAAGTGTGTGCGGCCGGGAAGCCGGGAAGGGAGTGGGCAGTGAGCCGCGGGCGTTTTTATTGGCTTCCTAGTGCTTTACTCTGTGTTTTCCCCAACATGCTCTGCGCACGTGTGATTTGGGGCGTCACGAGCAACACGTCAAAACCCTCCTGGTCTTTGGGGCCCCCGCCCACCACGTCCGGGGGGACCCGCCCTGCAGGACTCTGGGCCGTTGCCCCCTCCCTCCCGGAGTGGGAAGTGTCCGCCTCCTCGGGGCCCGTCTGGCTGAGCGCCCCGCCCCCTCCTCCCCAGGTGGCAGTCAGGGACCCGGCCACCAGGACGGGGCGCGCCTGCTGCCCCTGGAGGCTCTTCATGGTCTTTAAGCTCCCGGACGTGACCCCCATCCCGGGGTCTGGGGCCCAGGGTGGGCGCATCGGGGTGGGGAAGGTAGGGATCCCGCAGCCTTCCTGAGGAAGTGGGTGTTTCTAACCAGAGGGCAAGCCCGAGGAGGACCACTCGGAGTCCGGAGGCCGCGAGGGGGGCCCTGGGGCCCGGCGCAGGGCCCCCTGGGTGCAGAGGGCCGGAAAGGAGGGCCAGAGAGAGTGCAGGCGCCAGAGGGACTGTCAGCCGAGTGGCACTGTCGGGGCAGGCGGGGCCCCGGCTGCTCGCGCACACTCCACCACACTGACACGGAGAGGTTTGTCATGCAGGATAATAATTTATTTAATATATTAGAATAACTTACAAGATGTCAGACCTACGTACAAGAGCATCAGATACAGAGCGACGTGCACACAGTTCCCCGCCCCCTCAGCCCTCCCAGGCACTCGGCCGAACCGTCTCACCCCTGCTCCCCCGGGAGAGGGAGCAGGGGCGTTTCTCACCACTCGTCACCGACTAACAGACGGTGCTCGCAGAGCCCGTGTGCTATCGTCACTCCTGTCTGATGCTCCTAAGATACAATGTCAACCATAATATTAAAACACAACTTAAGCAGCAATTAAAAGCGCGGAAAACATTCGCCCCTTCACCCTTCCATGAGACGCCTCGGAGACATCAACCATTCACGTTCCCGATGAAAAGGGCGCACTCCCTGAAACTGGATGCTCGTACTTAAAGCGGCAAGAAGCAAAGCCAAGCGTTACATAATTTAAATAAGAGCACTGCGGCACGGCAAGCAGGAGAGGTGAGCGTGGACTGTTGTGAACCACAACAACAGCCCTGAACCTCCCGCCGGGGTGTCCGGAAGGGAGCGGTGAGGTGCTAGCAGCTGGAAATGGATTCGAGTCCTGTAGCTTATTTCTGATATGCAGCGTGTTTCTTAACCTGTTTTGTTTCCTGTTTCCCTTCGGGGAAGGAGAAACGCAGTCCTGTGCGGCTTGAGAGAGTCCACCCCAAGTCAGAGGGTCTGGGGTGCGAATTCCGGCTTCGTTTCGGGGGACGCTGGCGGAGCCCCCGCCCCGTGCCACGCGGGGCTTTGTGTGTGTGCACACGCGTGCACACGCCTGCCCGTTCCCTTTGCCCTCACCCCCGTGGAACGCTGGGAAGGTCAGCAAGATGCACACGCGCTGAGTGGAGAAAAACTCCGTCATGTTTGTGCGGACCATAGCAGCAGCATCGTAACTTGGAAACCATCAAAACCCGGGGGGGGGGCGGGGGGACACTTCTCTCATTCTTTTTTCTCTCTTTTCTTAAACACCCCGGCGCTCATTCGGGCCCCGACTCGGCAGCTGTTGTGCGTGCTGGTGGGCATGTTCTGTGGCCAGACAACGGACCCAAGCAATCCAGACAGCGGAAAATGTGCGCGGACTAGGGGGGACGGAAACCCTTCGGGCGAATGAGAATGGCTTAAAAGTCGGAGTAGGAATATGTTTTCTGAGGGAAAAAGAATCACACACACGAGAAACCAAACCTTTCCACACCCGCGTCTTGAAGACAGATCAGGAAGCGGACTTTCCGGCCCAGTGGCCTGTGCCAACGGGCCCCCCTCGGCCGCCCCCTGTGGAGTGGCAGCTGGGTTAAAATAGCTCTTCCTTTGTTTGGGAAAAAAAAACCTTTTCCATGATTTTGCCCCTTTGAAAGAATGACAGGAAGTCATTCCTTTACAGGCCCCGAGATCGCGTCCCGGTCACACAAACAAGCTGCCTGCGATGTGTGACGTTCCTGCTGGGGGAGGGGTTGGTCCCTGGCGCCGTTCGAGTGACAGCTTTCCTCCGAGGCTGGGGAAGGGAGGCGGGGGCCCTGTCATCCTGACCTAGATCGTGTTTGACTTCAAGCGGCTGGGAGTTCCTTGAGAAACGTGACCCGGAGCCAAGCTGCGCTGGCTGGAGGCCCAGGCTGGCCTGGGCTCCTCATCACACCCTCGTCCACGCTGGCCGTGGGCTCACGTCCACTCCGGAGCTTCTGCTGGACTGACTCACACGGCTGGAACATCAGGCTCACACAACCACCCAAGCAGAGACCCCTGGTCCCCTTCACCATGAAATGGAAAGCGTACCTTGGTTGGGCTAGGAATTTTGGAAAGAAAAGGAGAGCGAGAGAGAGAGAGAGAGCACGCATTCAAGGAGCATTCGAGTGGGCCGTGGGCTGGGCTGGAGTGGCGTGGGTGGCCGCCACTCCATCCTTCTGCGTAGTCCCTGAGGACAGACGAGATGGTCATCTCCGGGCCTGGGAAACACCGACCGACCGTGGACTTGTGGGAGGAGAGGCCCGGGTGGCAAGAGCACACGGGCAGGGGCGGAACAGTGTTACAGCGAACTGAAACGACCTGTGATTGTTTGCAGACGTGGAAACGGGCACCGCAATGTTTGGCAGAAAACAACGGACTATGAAATGAACACACCGGAAAAAGAAATGGAAGTGCGGGGGTCACAATAAACAGTGCTCACAAAATCAACTCCAAACTAAGGCGATGAACTGAAGCTAATGGGCTTGCGCTACCTACGGATTTCAGCTACTCAAGCGCGCGATCGGCGACCGCAGGTCACCAGCTATCAAGCAGAATGGGAGATCCCAGCGGGCACCGCTGGCGCGTGCCAGCAGGAGGCGCTGCACATGATGGCAGCCTGAGCTGGGGTCCCATGTGGGGGGGGCGGGGGGAGGCTGCTCCCCGCCAGCCCTACCAATCCAGCTGCAGGTCCACCTTGCTCCACACGTACTTCCCCCCGCGCTTGCGGAACGCCTCCTCGTCGAAGCCGCTGAACTTGATGGCCTCCTCCACGCCCACGTCCAGGATGGACTTGGAGGGGTCCTTGCGCCCCTCCCTGCAGTTCAGGAAACGCATCTAGAAAAGTCATGACAGAGGTCGGCGTGGGTCCTCGCCGGTTATCCCGCGGAGCTCACCTGTGCAGTTTCACCCAAGGATCTTTCTGGGGCTCCAGTCCCTTCCACAAGGGCCCCCCCGAGAACCCGTGGGCCACCCTGAGGGCGCCCGACTCCTCGGACACCTCGTCTCCCGCCCTTCGGCTCACCCCCACCCACGCACACACGTGGCGTCGGCTGGGTGCATGACAAGCGGGACTGCAGGCGTGTGCCCCCCCCCGGGGCAGGGCGGGAGGATGGGGGGCTGATCCGGAAAGGCTTTGGAAAAACGGGGACGTCTACAGGACACTTGGAAGCTGTGAGCTGGAGGGGGCAGCGTGGCGAAGGCAGGGGTGCCCGGAGTGGTGCGGGGTGTCTGGGCTGGCTCGGGCAGAGCGTGTCGGGTCAAATCCCCGCTCACGGGCGTCTGCGCGCAAACCCGACCGAAGCCGCTCTGGGGGCCGGGAGGGAGGACCACGGGAAGGGAGCTGCAGGGGCAGGGGCCGGGCCGGGCAGCGTCAGAGAGGCCCTGCTGAGGGTCCCGGGTGGCCCTAACTCGTCTGCCCCGTGGGCAGGGGCCAGGTCCTCACGCTCTGTGAGCTGCCGGGGCCCTGGGCGTCCCTCCACCGCCTCCGGGAACACTTGTGGAACCAAAATGCTCTTAAGTCGCTGAAGCAAACTCGGTTCCACTGTGCATGTTCCAGCTGCGTGGAGACCCGGCCGTCCGCTGAGGAACTTGGGACCAAATCCCCAGCCGACGGCGACCATCTGGGTCCCAAAAATACGCTCTGTTGGAATTCACCTCCCTCTCTGAACCCCTAAACTGAACCTTTCCTCTATGCTCCCCTTTCCTCTGTGCACCCCAGAAGGAAAAAAATTGAAATGGCTGATTGCTCGAAAGCAATCAAATGCTAAAGTCACAATAAGCATTTCTCAAAACGGCAGATCAGTTTAAACCCTGGCGCCATGGTTCTTGCTCGAGCTCACTTCTCAAAAACGGGTCTCTGAATGGAATTGTTTGCTCTGTTCTAGAAAGATTGGCAAAGTTTTATAAACCCAGGCCCCTGCTTCTCCCCCAAAAAACTAGGCAAAGGGAAAAGCGATGTGTTTTTCAGTTTTGAGAAGGGTGGGTTTTCCTTGTCCTTCATAGGGGCGGTGAGGGTGGCTTTGGGGAGGACCTGTCACCTCTTCTCACCAAAGCCAAGGTCGGATGATGAGCTGGCACCATCTGAGGCCCTGAAGGTGCTGAAACAGGGGGTATGGCTCCCCTCCAAATGGCCCGGGTCAGGCTCCTGCCCGCTCAGAACCCGACACGGTGTCGTCAGGGCGCTGTCACGCGAACAGTGAGCCCTGACAATCGACAGGTGCGCGGCTGGCCTGGGACAAAGGCCGACTAAGTGGTGACGCGGGTCACTCCGCCCTGGCCTCGCCACTCGACTCGTTTTTAAGCGGTGACCCGATGACGCACGGGAAATACTCACATACTCATCCAGAATCAGGTAGGAATCCTTCATCTGCAAAGGAGAGATGGGGCCCAGGTTTAGTTCCGAGCGTGCGTCTCGGTGTGGGCGCTCAACGCTCCGCCCCCCGAGGCTCATGGGGGGGGGTCTTTCTACCCGTTCGGGGCTCAGCCGTCCCTGCATCGCTTGTGTATCTTTGGGTGCAGCCCTCACGGGGGGGGGGGGCCTCCCCCACCGGGCACATCTCCGGGGGCACCTGCTTGGGTCCCACGGGCTGGATTCTCTGCCCCGTGGGGTGCAACGTCACCCTGGAACTCCTCTGACAGTGACACCCCCTGGGCTCGTCCCCCCATTCCCTCGAGCGGTGGGCGGTGGGAGAGCCCTGCCCTCCCTTACTCCGTTCTCCCTGCAGGGGTGGGGGAGGCTGATCCCCCCCCCCCACCAGCCTCCAGTGACCCTCTTTTCATCGTATCTGTTACCAGAGAGGGATCACAGCAGCCCTCCCCGGGGGCACTCGGCACCGGCGGGACCCCTCGGCTCATTCGGGGGCCCCGAGGCTGGAAGGGGGCCCCAGCCCGGAGACGGCACCCCCCTCTCCTGGAGCCCCCCCCCATCTAAGTGGCCCTGCGGAGCCCTCGGGGAGAGATGTCCCTCTTTGGACCCAGCCTCAAAGCGTGCTGGGGAAGGACACCGCGACTGCTGGGCCTACCTTGTCGTTGCACTCGGGCACCATGCAGGCCACCCCGCGGTGGCGGTCCAGGAAGCCTTGGAACTCCTCCTTGGTGATGACGAACTTCTCGGCCTCGCGCAGCGCCCCCTCCCCCACGTTCTCGCCCTCGATGAGCAGGCACTGGAACACCTGGGGGAACAGGGCGCCTGGCGTCACCGACCCCGCAAACCTCGTTCCCCGGAAGCAGGCGGCTGGCCGCCTCCCGCCGAGGAACCTTCTAGAAAGACGTTGCTCTGGGGGAACGAGAGCACGCCCTGACGTTTAGGAAGCGTGAATATTTTTAAAATATAGATGCACAAAAGCCGGCCTGGATTTCACATTCGATCTAGCCTCACAATCTCAGTTTTTAGACTACAAAGTTAACAGATACTCCGTGGAGGGTGTACGGGCCACACAGAAAAACACCGAGAAAATGAGCAAATCGTTGGCAATCCCCGAACCAGGAAATAAGTACTTTCAAAATGCTGCCATTTCCGCCGAGTTTTAATGCACCCCGACAGAGGCCTCGGAACGGGCTGCCCAGAAGGGCAGTTTTCCAAGGCCATGGATCTCGTTGTTCAGCATTCTTCTAAGTAAGTAAACAGGGGCGTGTGTGTGTGTGTGCGTGTGTGTGTGTGTGTGTGTGAGAGAGAGAGAGAGAGAGAGAGACACGTTGCCCCATCGCAAGGAATGCACCATCTGAAAGGAAACCTGCCCCAGCGAGGTGTTCAGGTGACCCCAGGTGACAGCTAATCACAGGGCTGTAGGCCCTCCACGCCAGAAGGCTTCTGTGCTGCACTGAATTACCTTCTCATCGCCACACAAGCAAAAAGTTGTGCAAAAAAGCGTAATTTTAAATGCCCCAAATGTCGCCTCCTTTGCTCGCTCTGTCTCCCCGATCACCTTTCTTCTCGTGCTCCCCGGGCCTCCCACAGCCCTCCACTGTTTGCCTTGAGGGCTGTCTTCCTCTGGGAACCCCAGCTGTCTCGTGGTCTCTTTGTCGCCCGCCGGCACCTCCCACTGGCTTCAGTCTCCGGCGGGAGGGGGCAGGGGCCTGGTGAGGGGAGGGGCGCCCTCCACAAGATCTGGAATCCCAGCCCGACTGGAGGATGGGACACTGAAGACGCACACGGGCATTCCGTCCCCCCACCCCCGGATCTTTGGTTCCAGGGCCCACCAGCGAGACTGGAAGGGGTTCTCGGGGGACAGCCAGGTCCCAGGGGCTTGAAGAGAGTGGAGGGCGGTGGGACTGGAGCCCCACCTGCTGCGGAGCCCCACGGGGTCCTTCTGCAGCTCTGGGGCCAGAGCGGGCAGGCCCAGGCCTGGGAGGGAAGGCAGCCGCCCGGGAGAGCCGGCTCTGAAATGCCGGAGGGGCTGAGCGGCTGCAGGGCGGGCGCCAGCTTGCGGCGGCGAGTGGCCCGCGGCACCAGCCATCTGGGGAGGACCTGCTTTGCAAACAGGCCGAAGCTGGTCCTCGCCCAGCGAAGAAGTGCGGAGTGTGAGAAGGCCACTCCAGAGAGACCCGGGCAGCGGACAGCCGGAGAAGGAGTCGGAAGGGTGGAGGAAAAGGCCGTTTCTTACGCTGTGCAGTGGAGAAGGGGGGACAGGAGCCGTGAGCAGACTAAGACTTTGAGAGAAGAAAGACACACACATGCACAGACGTGCAGATGCACATACAGGCTGAGCAGAGGGCGTGAGGGGACGGCCAGTGCGGAGGGGGAGGTGGAGCGGAGGTGGCAGGAGACCGTGACCCCAGGGACCCCAAGAGCTCGGGCTGAGCCACTGGCCCGGCCTGGGGCTGCCCGCCCTGTGGGCACATAGCCTCTGTTTCTCGTCCCCCCTCCTCACGATTTTTTCCTTTTTTTTTGGAGAGTGGCTAATACTCTGCTTTCTCATATACGTAACCAATATTTAAATTTCACATATCCATTTAAACAGTTTAAAAAAGTAACATTTCCAGCTCCCCCTAACCCACTTCCACACATGTCAGGGTGACGTCAGAAGAATAAGATAATAGCCCTCTTCCCTGCCTCGTGAGGTCTGTGCTGAATGACGCGTGGATTTAAACGCACCCCGGGCAGCTTTGGAAGGAGCGGCTCCCTTCATGGGGCGAGCCCTCTACCCTGGAAGGGACCTTCTGCCCCAGACCTCCCCCAGCCACAGAAGTCCCATCCATTCTCCAGCGTGCAGCTGAGTGCCACCCCCTACATGAAGCCCTCCAGGCACTCGGGCAAAATCAAACTCTGCCTGGCCTGCCTTCCCGCATTACCCAGCACACAGCCTTACTGTGTACAGTTCCTTGGTCCTCTCTCCTCCCTGGAACCGAGTTCTGCCCCTGACCCTTGGTGGCAGGTCCTTGGGGGCCCAGGCCCAAATACGGGTCAGCTCTGTGACCGTCACCAGGGCAGCTCATGACTGTACATACTGGTGCCAGCCCCTGCCAATGTCTACCCGCCCCCGACCCCCAGGCCCAGGGCCCTATGTCATGGGCATGGGGTGAAGTTCAGGAAGCTGGGGTTTTTTTGTTTGTTTGTTTGCTTGCTTGTTTTTTTTTTAAACAGTTCCCCGAGCTGATTCTGAAGAACAGCCAGGGGTAGGAAACTTTACCTTATCATTATCGGCAAGTGTGGCTACACTGTGGGTGGGTGCTGTACCTTGAATGGGTGTGTGTGTCTTTGAACTTCAGACTTTCAGTAGCTAATCTCGGGGCCGGTCCAGAAGCATAGCCCTTGGTGAATGAATTTTGCTACAACTTGGGAGTGGCCTTGTCTGCACTACCTTTCAATAGTTCAGTGAACAAATGTGTTGACGGAGAGTGTGAAGAGCACACACCCACTCACAAATAAGCCAGGAGCTGTGAAGAAGAAACCCGGCCTGGTCTGCATTAGGACACACGGGGGAAGCGCTCTGGGGGCGCCTGCTTCAGGACATCTCCAAGCCCCTCGTGTGTCTCTGGCCCTTGTCCTCAGAATATTCCAGACAGGAATCAGCCCTAGCTTTTAGGACGGACAGCTGAGGCGAAGGGAGTGTAAGCAGTTTCCAGTTGAGCGGATGAAAGAAAGACCTAGGACCCAGCTTCCCGGCTGGCGCGGTCGCTGCCGAGGCCTGTGGACCCCCAGCGTTTCCCGCTCCCCGGGAGCGGTCCCCCGGGCACGTCGAGGTCGCGGCCGGCGACAGCAGCCGCACGCTCACCTTCCAGCGGACGGGGTTCAGCGCCTTGATGTTCTCGGTCATGTCCTCGTCCAGGTTGAAGCGGTTGATGACCGAGTTGATCTTGAAGGCCACGCGGTACTCCCGGCACCAGCCCCGCAGCTTGTGCAGGTTCTCCACGTGGTTTATCTTGCCCTGCCCGCGGCCGATGATGACGTTCACGTCCTCGTTGAAGCTGTCGCAGGAGATGGCCAGGATGTCCAGGTACCGGCCTGGGGGGGAACGAGCATCCTTAGGACGTGCACCCAGGGACCAGGCCCCTGCGGCTGTCCTCACACCTTGAGCTAAAACACCCCCGGTCCGTACACCACACACTTTCATTTCTTAAAAGCAAAAAAAAAACCCTTTTTCCTCATGCCCCCACACTCACTGAAGTGTGCGTTCTACTGGGCACTTCTGTCCACTGACCGTGAAAACCAGACACCCGTGAGAGGACGGCTCTCCAAAGCGCTTCCTCCACGTGTTTCGTTGGCGCTGCCCCGGCCGTGGAACTCCGGAGGCAGGCTGGGGCTTTGGATCTGCGCACACGGGGGGACCTACTCCTTTTCTCTCGTTGCAGAAGCCCAATGAATGGCTCGGCCACCCTCATATCCCTGCTCTCTGCCTTCTCCCTGACCCCTACTCTCCATCTGATGCAGCGCCTGAACATCCACGGAGACCCCACGGTGGTGTGCCGGGCGTGGCCGTGCTAGACGCCGAGGAAGCCCAGCCCAGAAGACGGGAGTCTCGGGGTGCAGGGTGCAGCCGCTCCCTGAAACAGCGCAGAGGAGCAGCCGGGACAGGGGGTCCTCACGGGGCACGGGGTCAGCTTTGTGTCGGTGTCTCTCCCACCACTCTCTGCTGCGCCCCCTTCGCCCCTGCGCCTCCTGTTCCTCCTTCAGTTTCCCCTGCTGCTCTAAGCCACCCACCTGGCTCTTCCTTGATCTCTTTTTGCTATTTTCACTGTGATACAGTGCACATTCAACATTAGTCCCTGGTAGTTGCAGATACCCAGCGAAGCGGTTAGAAAACCACGGACTAGACAGGGCGGCCCCCCACCGCCTGGCCCTGAAGCATGGCCGTTCTCCGCCGCCCAGCCAGGCCCCGGCACGGGACCGAGTGTGGGTCTGTCACCCTGGTTCTCGGGGCCGCGCAGAGCAGACCGCAGAGGTCGGTTCTTGGAACCGCTCTCCCGTTACAGAAAGCAGGAGGTACGGTGAGAACAGCGGTGCTAGTCCAGTCGCTCACTTCAGACGAGACTCAGTTAAGGAATGGTTAGTTCTTTATGCATATAAAAAAATGAAACGTTGATAGCAAAGGCACAGTGCGGTGGGGGGCTGTGGGCTGGCAGCTGTGCTGGTGTTCCCCGACGGCCGCTAAGCTGGGTCTTGGCGGCGCCTGTCCCCTGCCGTTGTGCTTTGGAACTCGCGGCAGGCCGTGCCCACCAGGGCGTTCTGTTATCTGTGTGGCCCGGCTGGCTCGCCGGCCGCTCCGGAGAACGTCAACGCCCAAAACCCAGTGCTCAGCTGGCAGCTGGCAGGGAGGTTACCGTGAGCACGTCTGGTGTCCTCCCCACCCCCGACCTGGGGCCCCAGCGGGCCTGGCTCGCGGCCCAGGGCGGCAGGAAGCGCAGCCCCCACCCCGGCGGCAGCAGGTGCCCGGGGGGGGCGCAGAGGGGGGCCCCCGGGGCAGCTCACCGTAGTTCTGGAACCAGCGCTCGCGGATCAGGCTCCCGTTGCTGACGATGCTCACGCTGGGCAGGCGCAGCTCCCGCTTGCAGAACTTCACCAGCCGGCCCAGGAACTCGCCGCGCTCGTGCAGGAAGGGCTCCCCGCCCGAGAAGTTGATCTTCTCCATGCCTGGGGGGGGGGAGGGCACACACGTTCCTTCTAGGGCCCCGCGCCACAGACGCCGCAGTGGCGTTCGCGGCCAGAGCCGGGTGCTCTCCACGCCACGGACGTGAGAGGAGACCCCTCGGCACCCTCCCCTCCCCACGCCCGGCCCCCCGTCCACCCCATGGGAAGGGGACGCCACGTATGGGGTCCAGAGCTCCACACACACGAAAACCGCCTGAGGTTGTTGTTTCTCTTTCCTCCCTGTGTTGCCCTGGACGCGTGTGATGCAGGTAATCAGTTGCAGGGACAAGCGCATTGCTGAGAAGCCCACGGCTGCGAAGAGGCAACTCGGAGATTTGCAAAGCAGAACTCTCACCCCCCTGCCCCATCCAGAACAATCTAGAATGCTCGTCTGTTTCAGAGTAGCGCTGTGCTCAGCAGTTTGGCCACGTACAAGGTTCAGGGGGGCATCGCCCAGCGCTTAGGATTTTAAGGGCCTTGCTTATTGTTGCCTCCTGGGTTGGCATAGCCTTGTTCAGACGTGTGATAACACACACTCTTAAGAACACAGCCCTTTCTAAGGGTAGTTTTTCCCTTCCAGAAGCTTCCTTTCCGGTGCTCTGAAATTTCAAGACGACGCGCCTCGGTGGAAACGCACAGTACGCCACGGAGTCCCCCGAGACTGTCGCTCGTCAGTCCACACGTGTGGCAAACATGGTGCCCGTGGAGGAGCGGGCACCGTGCGTGGCGACTGGATTTCTGCAGTGGGGCTGTCACGCAGCCTTTAAAAGGGCTGCCATGCCCCCCGTCTCCGGGCCACCCTGCCCTGTCCGTGCCTTCCCCCCGAGACCCCCATGAAGGCTTCTGCCCAGATGTGCCCTCCCCGCCTGGTGATGGAACCCAGGACCCCCCTGGACCCCCGTGGCAAGTTGTCCTCTCCCCAGGGACGTTTCTAAGAAGGGCTGCCCCTCGTGCCGCCGGGCCCAGAGCAGTCCAGGGTGAGAGGGCACGCCGGGCCGTGTCTCTGACGCGACAGGGATGACTGGCGCCACCGCACCGCACTGCCTGTGAGCCAGGAGGCTCCCTGTGGACAGTGGTCACGACCCTACAGAACGGCGTGTTTCACGAAGCACGAAGAGCGTGCCGTGGCGAAGTGCTCAGTGAGTGTGAGGAGCAGGGGGGCGGGGCCGAAGGGACGAGACCCCCGCGGGAACAGGCGCAGAGACGTGGCGACGCTCTCGGACCAGGGACAACGGGTTCGCAGCGGCGTCAGCCTGCGAGGAGCCACCCCAGTGCGGCTCATGCCTGGAACGTTCTATGGGCCTTCTCCGTGTCAGAGCCAGAGAAGCGAACGCTGTAGAAGCGCCTTCAGCCAGACTACCACGTTTTAATTTTAAATATGCTGTATGTTTACAACAGAAATGAATTTTAACTTTCATGTAAATTTAAATATTTGATTATCGCCCAAACAGTTTTCCCTCTAGTAGCCAGAAACCTCACTCACAGGACACACCACCTATACTAAACCTTAATCTTTTTAATTCTTTTTTCTTTTTGCTGCTCTGCTTGGCTGTGCCTTTCCACCTTGTCCCCTGGATTGCTGACTCGATCCTCGGCCTCGTCTCGCCTGCAGCTGACTCTCCCAGGGTGTATCATCTGTTTCAGAGAGGGCATTCTTCATTTCTGCCTGGGCCTTTCGCACAGTGTCCGTGTCCTTTTCCGTGCTGTTGAGTGCCCTCATGGTCACTACTCCGAACTCTCTACCTGGTACATCCCTGGCCTCCCGTTCACTTAGTGCTTCTGGAGAGTTCTCTCGGTCTTTCACCTGCAGCCCGTTTCTTTGTCCCCTCGTGTTGGCTGCTCCCGTGTGTCTGTTTCCGTGCGTGAGGTGGACCTGCCAAGACTCGGGCTCTGACCCATGTCCGACTCTGCCTGCGACTGGCCCTGGGCAACCCGAGTGGCTCCCTCTGCCCGGCCTGGGGGTGGGGGGTGGGGGAAGGATGGAGCCGCGGCACAGAGGCTGACCTTTACGAGCACTGCCCCAGCGAAGGGTCAGCTCGAGTCTCAACGTGCCCGGGGCCTGCCTCTGCTCCCAGACCGTCTGTCAGGCTGGAGCTTGAAAGTAGCCCCCAGCTGCGGGGCCTCAGCTTGGCGGGGGGGCGGTGCGGGAGGGGACCTGCGGGAGGGGCTGCGGCTCCCCCCAGGCGGCTGTGGCCTGGGGAGCAGTGCTCTGCCCGAGAAGGGCAGCTTCCACAGTGTGTGGAATGACTCAGCTCAGGGGTCCCCGTGGCTCACCCCTCAGCTCTGTCCCCAGAGCCACCCACCCCCAGTTCCTTCTGTGGCTCTAGTCCACTCTGCCCTCCCTCTGCTGAGGGTGAGCAGCTGCAAATGGAACTTTGTGTGGGCCCTTAAAGAGGCGCTAGGTCTCTCTTCCAGGTGGGCAGAAGCCTGGCTGTTGCGGGTGTTACTGGGGCTCCTTTCCCTGTTCTGGTTCTCCAGGCCGGGGATCACGGCATGGGGCGTAGGACCCCACGGTTCTCAGGGGGGATCCCACCCAGCCGCTGAAACATCCCACCCGTGGGAGCCCAGCCAGCCCTCTCTGCACTCCCTCCCAGTCTCCATGGGGTGGTGCTTGTCTCCCATAAGGCCTTGGTTATTGGGCCGCTCTGCAGCTGGTGCTCAGCTGGTTGTGCGGGGTGATGTTCCTATCATTTAGCTCTAACCCCAGCTGGGTCCTGGGGGGGGGGTCAGTGTAGCTCCCACCTGCTCTGCCCCATCTTGGGTCCTCTGCTTCAACCGTTTTAATCCATTTGGCTTCTATTGGCCTAAAACTGAGAAGTCATTGAGAAGTCATTATACGAACGCATTAATTACAACTCTTTACGACAGTTTATGAAAGTACAGAAGCACGCACTCATCAGTGCCTTGGAAACACGGTTGGAGGTTGGTGTCGGAGCTATGACTGTTATCCACGTTTTAAAGAGGTGATTAAACCTACATTCAGAAAAGTTGGATGTCTGGGTGAACCTCATACCCGAGGACCCCAAGCCCAGTTTTGTGAATCAAGACTCAAAGACCCTTCCGCAGGACAAGATTGCTTCTCATTCATTCACTCATTCATTCGTCCATCCGTCATTAACCCACCTAGTCTAAAACATGTTTAGGGCCCTCTGGCGTTCTAGACGCTTTGCTGGGCATGAAGATACACAGATGCCGAGACTCGGCCTCAGAATCCAGACGCTTTGAGGACTCAGGTATTTACAACCAATGAGCCAGACAAACCCCAGGGCCCAACTTAGAAACCGCCCTAACACGCGTGCGCGACGAGGGCCATGAGACCACGGGCGAAGGGGAGAAGACCTGGATTCTGCCCGAAGAGGACCGGGGGTGACCCTAAGGAGCTTCAAAAGCTTGCCCACAGAGACTGGGGCGACCGGACCCCAGGGAGGGAGAGCTACCTGATCGTGCACAGGCTCTCTGGGGCAGGTGTGAGGGGCCTCGAAGCCTTTGCTGGTGAGTGGGAGGCTGGGGACCATGTGAGACAGTCGGATGGAGGCATCCAAGCACCACAGGTGTGTTTTAGTGCAACGGCAGGCTTTCCTGGGGGCACGGCAGACACAGGGAGATGGAACGCCACTGTCCCGCTGAGAATGGGGACGCCCTAAGTTGGACCCCACAGAACAGCCAGGCAGGTCTGCCGTTGGCTCAGCTGTGGAACCAGGAGCAAAACAAGTCATACCCAATAAAATGCAAACTGTGCGACGTGATAATGCAGAGTGCCAAATCAGGCAAAACCCGTCTGTGTGCTGGGAGATAAGCTATGGGCTCGCCTGTGCGAGGCTGGAAGAGCAGCCCCTCCTGGGGCCGCCATGGCTCCGCCCCTAGGTGAGCAAAGTGGTTTCCCTGCCCGGGGTCTTGAGATGGACCCTCGGGGTCCTGGGGCCGCCATGGCTCTGCCCCTAGGTGTGCAAAGTGGTTTCCCTGCCTGGGGTCTCGAGATGGACCCTCGGGGTTCTGGGGCCGCCATGGCTCCGCCCCTAGGTGTGCAAAGTGGTTCCCTGCCCGGGTCTTGAGACGGACCCTCGGGGTCCTGGGGCCGCCATGGCTCCGCCCCTACGTGAGTAAAGTGGTTTCCCCGCCCGGGGTCTTGAGACGGACCCTCGGGGTTCTGGGGCCACCATGGCTTCGCCCCTAGATGTGCAAAGTGGTTTCCCCGGGGTCTTGAGACGGACCCTCGGGGTCCTGGGGCCGCCATGACTCTGCCCCTAGGTGAGCAAAGTGGTTCCCTGCCTGAGGTCTTGAGACGGACCCTCAGGATCCTGGGGCCGCCATGACTCTGCCCCTAGGTGTGCAAAGTGGTTCCCCCGCCCGGGTCTCGAGACGGACCCTTGGGGTCCTGGGGCTGCCATGGCTCCGCCCCTAGGTGTGCAAAGTGGTTCCCTGCTCGGGGTCTCGAGACGGACCCTCGGGGTCTTGGGGCCGCCATGGCTCCGCCCCTAGGTGAGCAAAGTGGTTTTCCCGCCCGGGTCTCGAGACGGACCCTCGGGGTCCTGGGGCCGCCATGACTCTGCCCCTAGGTGTGCAAAGTGGTTTTCCCGCCCGGGTCTCGAGACGGACCCTCGGGAGGGGGCGGCCGAGCGCTCCTGTGCTTTACCTCCGTGAGAACGTTAGGACCCGTTGAGAGAAAAGGGGGTGGTGAGGCTGCTGAAATCGCTAGCCTGGAGGTGCTCTGGGGAAGACGGGACGACGAGGAGTGCGGGAGGCAGAGGTGGAGCGGAAAACGTGGACCCGGAACGGCCCGGCCGAGCTAGCTCGGGGGTGCGGGCGAGGGACTGGGACGGCAAGGCCAGCTCCCTGTGGGCCGAGCGGACGAGCGACTCGTCGCCATGTTGGAGCTGCAGCTTCTTCCCGGCTCGTGATCGGGAATGGAAGGCGCCGCCGTGGCTCCCAAGTGAGAGTCCGTGTTTGTCTCGGTTTCTCGGACTCGTCCTTCCCCGTGTCCAGGAAACCTGACCCGCCACTGCTTTGGGGGACCCCAGGGGGCGCCACGACCTGCCCGCCGATCCGATGGCTGTGCCCGTGCCCACGCCACCGCGCCGACCGCCCGCTGAGCGCCCCATTGGCTGCCCCACTGACTGCCCAACTGACCGCCGCACTGGCCACCACACTGACTGCCGCGCTGACCTCCGCGCTGATCACCACACTGACCGCCCCGCTGACCGCCGCGCTGGCTGCTGCGCTGGCTGCCGAGCTGATCGCCGAGCTGATCGCCGAGCTGATCGCCGCGCTGATCGCCGAGCTGGCCGCCGAGCTGGCTGCGGCACTGACTGGCGCGCTGACCACCCCACTGGCTGCCGCGTTGGCTGCCGCTCTGGCTGCCGCGCTGATCGCCGAGCTGGCCGCGGCACTGACTACAGCGCTGATCGCCGATCTGGCCGCCGAGCTGATCGCCGAGCTGGCCACGGCACTGACTACAGCGCTGATCGCCGATCTGGCTGCCGAGCTGATCGCTGATCTGGCCGCCGCGCTGATCGCCGAGCTGGCCACCGCACTGACTACAGCGCTGATCGCCGAGCTGGCTGCCGTTTTGGCTGCCGCTCTGGCCGCCTCTGGCTCTGGGGTCCAGACAGCCTGGGCGCCCACCAGCCAAGGCAGAAACGGCGTCTCCCCGGACGCTGTCCACAGCCTGTGATAGGGGGGACCCCTCGGGTCCTCCGTGTCCTGTAGGCGCCGGCCCCCACCCCATCTCCACTCGCCACCTGGTCCGGCCGGAGACGCCCCCGCAGCCCCATCTCCTCGGGCCGGGACTCACCCGCCTCCTTCAGCAGCCGCAGGCCCCTCTTGGCCTCCTCCAGAGGCAGCACGAAGGACGTCTTGGCCGTGTGGAAGCAGAAGCCGCACTTGTAGTTGCACTGCCGGGTGAAGTGGTAGTTGACGCTGGTGGGGGTCAGGCGCTCCTCGCCGCTGGCCTCGCTGCTGTCTTCACCGCTGTCGTCGCCGCCGCCGCTGTCCTCGTCGCCGCTGCTGTCCTCGTTGCTGCTCTCCTCGCTGCTGTCCTCGCCGCTGCTGTCGTCCTTCTTGTCCCCTCTGGTCCGCCGGGCCCGGTCCCTGCGCTGCAGCCACTGCGGTTCCCAGTCGCTGCCCGCCAGCCAGAGGAGCAGGCGGACCAGGCTGACCACCAGCAGGCACAGGGCCTTCCAGAGCAGCCTCACCAGCGCCAGCAGGATCTTGACGGTCCACATGGTGCCAGGGTGCCAGTGCCTGAGCGTCTGTCGGGCCGCCGAGGTACGCCCCTTTATATGTGTGCGGGCAGCCCATCCCAGGGCAGGTGGACACACCTCCTGCGAGTGAGGGACGCCCCCCCTGAGTCTGAGTTTCGGTTTTTCTCTTCATGGAAATGAAAGTTGGAGCGGAGCCAAGGCTGGCGGCCCCGAATTCGGGTGGGAGCCGCCTGCCTCGGCCGGGGCACCCGCCAGCAGGCCCTGCCGGGGTGCAGAACAGGGGCTGCCGTCTTCCTGTTCCTGGGGCTCGGCGCGACGGGGCTGCAGAGAGAGCCACCGCTGGCGTGGCCGCCGTGTTACTCGTGCATGACACCGCAGTTGGGAGCCACCACCCCCCCTCCCCCCCCCCGCCTCACACACCAGGCTTTCGGGGAAGTCGGTGGTGGGGCCCGAACGGTGAAAAGGGTGGCGCCCCCCTTCCCCCCGCTCCCCTGGGAGCCCGCCCAATGCACCCGTGGCCTCGCTGCTTCCTGAGCTCTACCTCCCAACTCACGCCTTATTACAGTGTGAAGATTCAGGCCTGTGTTGTGCTTCCCTGGGTTTCTGCACCATCTTTCACAGATGGCAGGGAACCGGGTGCCTCTCTAAGATGCTCCTTCAGGGACAGGCGTCCCTGTGGCTTGCTGCTCATTTTTACAGTGTTCTTAGGAAGCGGGGCTGAGTTCTGTACGGAAGGTGGCCTTCCTTCAGCCCTCGTTGGTCTGGTCTGCGTCAGAGCATGCGGTGTCCGGCCTGTGTGAGGCGTGTGAAGGTCCGTGTGTCCGAGGGTGGGAGCCGCTGGACCCTCTGCCCTGAGCTCATGGCCGGCCAGCCTGTGGCCCTGAGTCCGTGTTTATTCCCCAGCCCCAGCCCCCAGACGGCCTGTGAGGTTCCCCGAGGTATGGGGGTCGCTGAGCACGGGCGTGGGCGTCCGGCAGTGCCGGGGAGGGTGGGCTGCAGTGGTTTCTGGCAGGGCTGCAGTCTCGCGGAGACGGAGCCCCTTGTGTGTGGGCCAGAAGGGAAACCGAAAGCCAAGTGTGGTTGCCGGCTCTGCGAGGATGGGCGGGGGCCAAGCGGCTGCAGTCGCGGCCAGACGTTTGTAAGCTGTCACCCCCGATGTTTGTGAGGTGTCGTAAGCTCTCACCACGATTGGGGCCCCAGCAGGACCAGTTGTTGCTGCGTCACATGGGTGTGAAGAAACGGAAAAGGAAATCAGCCTGCATTTCACATCCAGGACTGGGGTGGCGGCGGGGCAGAGGGGGCAGGCACAGAGGGTGACCTCGCAGGCTTTAGACACTAAACCTGTTACGGTGTGAATTCTAGTTTGGCCAATCGTATTTAATTTGGGGTCAATTTCTGTGCCTCCTTGATTGCTCAGCACATCTGGGAAGTGTGGGGGTCAGTGTCTAACTCACACAGGACAACACTTTAAGGGTTACATGGCATAACACGTGCTGTGCACTGAGAGTGGTGGGGGCAGCAGACACTACACACGCCTGGGCCCAGGGAGCCTGGCACACCCGGCACTGGGCTCACTGGGCCCACTGGGCCCGCCCGGTTTCCCCGAACTTATTTTACGCCTGGACAAACTCCCACCACACGGGGCGTGGGGGGTCGAGCTAGGATGTAAAAACTCGCAGTGCTGCTCCGTGATGGGCTGTTATGATCACATTCGTCTCTATCATGACTTTTTTTTTTTTTAAATCAGTGACTTCCCGTTATTCAAGGTATTTCTCTCTCGCTAGGCTTACTAGGCTCGTGAGGAGAGGCTGCTACCACTCCTGAAGTCCGCTGGGCCCGGGTCAGTGCCCTTTCCTCACTCACTCACTCACCCACTCACGCGTGGACTCAGGCGCCCCTCCCTCCCCGCCTTCTGCAGCTAGTGTTTGTGGGAGCTGCCTGTGTACCAGGTAAGAGATTAACAGAGACAGGAATATTAATGAAATAAAGAGGCTCAAGTCCCTGCTTGGGGAAGGGCTCATGGATATCACAGTCCCCGTGGCATTTTTGGAACACGCACTCATTTCTTCCTAACCTGTCTCCCTCCGCCCATCCACGAGGAAGGCTCAGGACTAGGAGTCCTTCTTTTCAGGGTCATGACTTTTAAAGGTCAGAGAGGGTTTTTTTTCCTCCCCTAACTGAGTGAGGCAGGTGGGCCGGAGGGGCGTGGAGGCAGCCCCTCCTGCTGTCCTGTGCTCCGCGGGCCAGCCTCCTCTGAGGGCGCCCACAGAAGCTGGGTGCCCGTGAAAGGTCACCAGCGTTTTTTCTTAACCCTGGGACATTCTTCTCCAAACATGTCAGCCCTCCTGACACACGCCGGACTCTCCGATGTGCACAGTCCCTCGGGGCACTGCCAGACGCTGGCTGAGGTGCACGGGGCGGGGGGTGGGGGGTGGTTGAGGAACCGGTTCAGTTGCTTGCAGCAACCTCCTGTCTTGCTCTGGCAGGCCTGTTACGGGGGCACAGTGGACCTATGTCATGCGGGCACCCCAGTTTCTGGGTGTCAAGGCACAGAGCAGCAGTTTTGACAGAACGCATGTGTATGGGGGACGGCCACCTCGTTTAATAAAAGAAAAAGAAAAGGAACTTGGCCAAGACCTTAAAGCCTCCCACACCGTCTCCCAGGCCCTAGGGCCTGCCCCTGGCCCAAGGACAGCCCTGTCCTGTGTCCCCCCCCCCGCACTGCGGGGTGGCCTGCCGTTCAGTGTTGGATGGACCCACCCAGCAGGCTCCTGTCACCCCATGTCTGCAGGTGCACCCGCCGTGCTGAGCCCCGCAGCGGCTCGTTGGCATCCCCAGCCAGCCGGGACCCCCCCCCCACCACCACCACCCCAGTGAGAGTGGGCCGGCGTGCGCACTGCTCCGGCACCACGCGCATTTGGAAGGCTTTGCTCTCATGTTCCTCCTTGTGGTCAATGTACACGTGAGTTTGTGAGCCGGGGGGGGGGTGTCACTGCTCCACCAGCCACACGCGTGTTCCCCTCAGGACAGGGCTGCACGGCGGGTTCCGGTGCCCCACTTGCCTCCCTTCTCCCTCGCCATGGTCGCTTCGCGGCCGTGGATCACCACCGTTGCCGTGTGCGTGTGGCGGCGGCACCCCTGCCTTTTCGGCGCCTGGCTCTCCGACGGCCGGCGGCACGAAGCACCGGTCACCGGGTTTTAGTCCAAATCTCACGCTCCTTTCTGTCCCGGCCGCCTGCACTTTCCGGAGGGGCCTGTAGGCCTCGGCCGCCTGTCCTGCCCTGTGCTGGTCACGGGCGCTGCGAACGTCCCCTCGAACTCTGGGCTCTCGTGTTCACTCACTTGCTGCGTGCGAGTGGCTTCGTTCTTGTCACGAGTGTAACTGTACTAGCAGCTGTCACTGCACAAGTGTAACTGTAACCACACTAGCCTGCAGACCTGTGTGTGTGTGTGTGTGTAAAGAAATGAAACGTGTCCCAAAGAGCTTCACAATGACAGTGCTGCTCCTTGAAATTTTCACTTGATGTCCGTGTGTGTGTGTGTGTGTGTGTGTGTGCACATGTGTGTTAGGCTGTGTTTCAGCAGTCTCCAGAGGACCCTTGTGTGTGCTGACCGGCTGCGCCTCCGGAGCGGGCCACCCTCCCAGGCGGGGCTCCCTCCAGGGAAGGGGGTGCGGCGGAGTGGGAGCAGAGTCAGCCAAGGGCCCACGTCACACAGGGCCTCGCGAGGCCCGAGCAGGCGTCTGAGGCCTTCGCCCCCTGTGGCCACGCAGGCTGCGTGTCCTCTCCGGCAGTGAGCTCCAGGGACCCGTGGGAGCCGGCTCCGGGGAGCCGTGGCCGCCCGACGCCAGGCCCCCAGCTGTGCAGGAGCTGCCCAGCCCGGGCCCCGACGCCTGCGCGCAGCAGCAGGACAGGCTGGGGAGGGTGCTGCCAGGCCCCAGGCCTGCGCCTGGTCCTCAGGGGTTGATATCAAGAAGCTTCCGGGGCCTGGTTGCAAGGCATGGCCAGGACCGGTCCTGGCTCCAGGCTCCCCGGGAGAAATGCCAACGGCGAGCCCCTGCCCCTACCCCCCTGCCATGGTACCACTTTCCTCCGGGAGCCCGGACGCCGGGTTCCTCCGAGAGAGCAGCGACCCCACAGGCTGGCCTCCAGTCAGAGCTCCCCACCCCGGCAGGTCCGGGGGGCTCGTGTAAGGGAGGAGCAGGAGGCCCTGGTGCCGGGGGCTTTACCCCCTGGGGAGCAGCTGCTTAGGCTGCTGGTCATCGTCCCCCCGACCTTCGTCCCCTCTCTCCCGGACTTCCACCCCAGAGTCCTCACTCCTCCTCGCGTCCCGAGTTCGCCGTCACCGTCAGACGCCCCCAGTCACGGATGCTGACTCATGTGTGTGACAGCCTTTCTCTCTGGGGGTCCTTCTGAGCCCACGCTCCTTCCCTGCCCTGCTTTCCTGGCGTGCTGGTTTCCTCTCCTTCCTTCCCTCCAACCCGAACAGCCTACCCAGACGCCCGCCTACTTCAATAGGGGTTCAGAAGGCACTCTTTTTCAAAATAAAGGTTATTTTTTCATTTTATTGTTTATTAACTGCGGCGTTTACATCTGTGGACCCGCCCTCTCTGTTTCATCCCGCCGCGAGCAGAGCGGTGCGCGTGGTTTCCCCTTTGCCCGAGTGACGGCGCAGGTGCGGGAGACCGGGGTTCCTCTGAGTGGGCGACGCCGTGTTATCGGTCCTTTCGGGGAAGTCTCTGAGCTCTCTGCGTCCCGGCTCCAGCATCTCTGTGTCCTGAAACTATGAGCAACCGTACTCAGCGCAGCCGCCCACCCACGTTGGAGCCTGAACTTATGAGACATTTTCAGGACAGGAGATGCTGTGTCTTCAGTGGGCAACACCGAGCTGCCCTTGACTGAGCTCAGGCCCTGCAGTGCCCTCCGTGTCACCGTCTCCTGGCCGGGAGGAGCCCGGTGGGAACGGAGAGGAAAACTGAGATGAAGAACGGGGGGGGGGGGGCAAGGACACAGAGTCAGGGGAGGGCCGCGGGAGGGGGCAGGGCTGTCCTACGGCACAGAAAGGCGTTCGCCCCTTTTTTGTTTCCCGGTGTGCCACCCCCGGGCAGACCCCTCTGCACGCTGACGCCCCAAAGTCGAGCGCCTCACAGAGCGTAGACTGGGCCCAGGCACGGCCCTGCTCTCCAGGGGCTGGGCGCCCCTGACCCCGCTGCCTTGCTCCTGACCAGGTGCGCGTCTCTGAGAGGTCACGGTGGTCAGCACGGTTCTCCTTTGGAATCACACACAGTCCCGAGGCCGAGCCGATGACGCAGTCTGTTCACTCCCAGAACACCGCGTGTTTCCACCCTGAGCTGGGTGCTGGGTGCTGGATGTTCCAGATTTTTCTCGGGGCGTTCTCTTCTGGGTCAGTGTGACCACCGCTGCCGAGATCAGGGCAGGAGCACAGACAGGAACAATTACGTCAGTCCCGACCCTGGCGGTGGTCCCGTCCCAGGCGGTCAGGCTGCGGCAGCTTCCTTCCACTGGGGGCGCAGCTCCACCAACCACCCCCCACCCCCCGCCCCGGCCTCAGTCAGGCACGTCTCCCCGGGGGGCCTGCACTCCTGAACGGGTTTGTGGTGAAAGCCCCTTTACAGGACAAGTCTGGGGACCTCCCCCGGCAGTGCCGGCCAACAAAGAGGATGCCTCCAAGTATTGGGGAAACATATGAAGGGACGTGAAAGCACTCGTTTAGGCAAAAAGCACCTCCTGGTGGAACTCGGGCCCGGGCTGCGCCGGCCAGGGTGGTCCCAGCCGGGAGCCAGGAGCGGGGGTCGGGGAGAGGATGCAAGGCCGGGGCCCCGCGAGTGAATTGGGGCTGAGGACGAGTCACACCGGGGCCGGGCGGGGGTGGGGGGCTGCTCTCCCCGAAGCAGCGCCACTCAGTCCCGTTCAGCAGCCCCTGCGGGGCTCACCCCGGGAAGGCAGCCCTCGGGGCGCCCGCGCGGCCCGCGGGGACGAGCACCTGCGGCGTTTCCTCCCACTCCCAGTCCCCGGGGCCGCCGGCAGGACCTCGCCGCAGGCAGGACCTCGCCCCCGGCTCCCCGCCCCCGCCCCCGCGGCCAGTTAACTTTCGTTTCCTGGAGGCACCTCCCGAGCGCGCCCGGTTTCATTGGCGAGCGCGGGGCCCAGGGACCCGGAGACGCCCATGGTCTGGGCCGGCCGCCTGCGCGCCCTGCCGCTCCGGATCCTGTCGGGGCCGCGGCTCCGGGCCTGTGCCAGCACCATGGCGCCGCCGCGCTTCTTCGCGCTGGAGCTCCCCGGCTGCACCTTGGCGCACTTCGCGGTGGGCGCCGACGCCCCCGGCGCGCCCGCCGACCCCCGAGTGGCCGAGCTCATGGCCCCCCCGGGCCGCAGCTACTCGCTGTGCGTGCCGGTGGCACCGGGCGGGGACCCCGGGGCCCGGGTGCGCGCGGCCCGGCTGCACCAGCGCCTCCTGCAGCAGCTCGACCGCGGCCCCCTCAAGCGCTGCCAGCTGCACCGGCTGCTGTGCTACCAGCCCGGCGGCGGGGCGGGGACCCTGCAGCAGGGCGTCCTGCTCCACGACCCCAGCGACAGCCCCGACACCCGGCGCGCGCTGCTGGCGCTGCTGGACTCCTACCTGGAGGCCCCGCGCCCGAGTCTGGGCGAGTTCTTGGCCGACGACGCCACCCGCCAGCTGTGGCAGCGCCGGTGGGAGCTGCTGGACGGCCAGGGGTGGCGGCAGGTGGAGCCCGAGCCCGTGGGGCCTGCCCCGGAGCCAGACCTGCATCCCGCGGTCCCCGACCTGCCCAGCGCCGGGGTCTTCCCCCACCGGGAAGCCGCTCGCGCCGTTCTGGAGGCGGTAAGAGTTCCCCTCCCTCCCCAGCGTCGGGCCCTTCACATCTCAGAGTGGGCCCAGCACTAGGCAGCGGCTGCCTGTCGAAACCGCTGCGGCCCGGGTGGTGGGCCCACTCTGGAGGGCACGCTGGGGCCTGCAGGCGGCCTGCGGGCAGGCTCTGTCCGGACTCCTGGCCCTCTCTCGGTTCCCACCAGCCAGGACCCCCCCGCCGACTCAGGGGCTTCCACCTGAGCCACTCAGGTACGCTGCACGTGTCTCTCCACGGCTCACACATGGAGACCTGCCTTGCGGTGTGGTGGCAACTAAGGGGACATGGGACGCACAGCAGGTGCCAGTGAAGGGGAGCCGGGCAGGGCAGGGGTGTCCGCGCATGCCTCCTGAGGCTGGGCGCGCTTTCCAAGCTCGCGGGGCAGCCCTGCGGACGGGCCCCAGACACAGGCGCAGCCGCCGGGGGCGCGACCCCAACGGTGGCCTTCACACCTCGAGCCACGTCCAGCCCGTCTGTCAAGCAGCCTGTGCGACAGCGTCCTCACTCCGCAGCAGGGCCACCCCTCCCAGGGTCGTCATGGTCAGGCAGACAGACTGGCCACGGCAACACCCCGCCCGCGCCCAGGGCGTCGCCTGGCTCAGAGCCGAGCCGCACGTGAGTCAGTGTCTGGGCCTCGGCCCAGAGGTGCCAGGGCCTGGCCTCGGGGTGCAGCAGGGTGAGAACTCTGAACCCCACGGCCCCTGCCCCGCTCCCTCCCTGGTGCCTGCTCAGCTGCTCCCTCTTCTCCGCCCCACACGGCCACCCGACGAACCAGGACCCGAGGCCTGTGCTGGCTGCTGTCTTGGGGGCCGCCCCGCGGCTGCCTCCCCGCACGGGACACACTGCCCCCAGCGGGCCTGCTGCTCCAGCGTCGCTGTGTGACTGTGTGTCACCGCTGGGCTGCCCGCTCTGGAGGACAGGGGCCTGCAGGGCTGCAGCCCGGGCGACCCTGATGGCCACCGCCTCTCTGAGCTGGGACCACATGGTACAGCTAAGGACACCCCTGTCCCTAGGTCCGAACGCTGTGAATTTGGCGTGGCGCCGGCAGAACTCGGGCCTCCGCGGTGGCGGGTGGCCACGCGTTGCTGCCGCTTCCCCGCTAACCTGCCCATGCTGCCTTACTGTCTTACAGTGCACGGCCGTCATCCCGGAGGCCCGGGCCATGCTGGAGCTGGTGGACCGGTGCCCCGCCCGGGCCCAGAAGGGCGAGTTCCCTGTCATTGTCATCGAAGGACTGGATGCCACAGGTGAGAGAATGGTCCCTTGTAGGTACAACAAGGAGATGAACCAATCCGTTGTAGGGAGACACGGGTTTTGGCCAATGGAACTTCCCACGGAGGTCAGATGAGCCTCCTGGGCACCCCTCGCCTGCGCTGGCAGGGAGCCGGGCAGCCCCGGGACGCTCTCGTGTGTGTGCGCTTCCGCGTGTGCGGCCGCCGAGGGCCGGGGACACTGGGTGCAGCCCGGGGGTGGAGGTCAGGGGGCCGCGGACAGGGTCCGGGAGAGCGCGGGAGGGTTCCCAGCCCGAGTGTGCGTGCAGTCCAGAGCGGGGCTGGCCACGTGAGGAGGGCAGGGTGGGCAGGTGGGAGACCTGGGCCGGCATCGCCTGTCTGGGGACCCCGGGCAGGTCAGAGGTGCTTGTGGAGCCCGAGGGGGCAGAAGCAGGAAGTGGGGGGGAAGGCTTAGGGGCTGCCCAATGGCTGTCACAATACAGTGGAGGGGCCCGCACTCAGCCCTGGACGCCCCGGCACAGGCGTGGCCCCAGGGCCGCAGGAGAGACTGAGGGGGAGGCTGAGCTTGGGGCGCAATGCAAGAGGGTCGCCTGGTGTGGAGGCTGGGGGGGCTCCTTCCCAGGGCAGCTGATGGGCTTTCCGGGGAGGGGGGCAGAGCTGAGGGCAGCCGCCACCCCGGAGTTCACCGTCTGCCAACAGACAGGCCGTCTGCTTTCGTCCCTCGTGGTGTCCTAACACCACAGAGAGGGGCCCTCGGCTCCCGAGGGTCTGCGACTCCCCATCATCAAACGAGTAGTCAGCTCCTTGGGTTGGCAGGTGGGCAGAGTGTGTGCCCTTCTGAGTTGGCAGGACTTGGGGGAGGGAGGCGGCGCGGGGGTTAAGGTGAGCTGTGCCGTGTCCGCATGACCTGCAGGTAAAACCACCGTGACCCAGGCTGCTTCGGAGTCTCTCAAGGCCGTGCTCCTGCGCTCCCCGCCTGCTTGCGTCAGCCAGTGGAGGAAAGTATTTGATGACGAGCCTACCATCGTTAGAAGAGCTTTTTACTCACTGGGCAATTACATCGTGGCCTCCGAAATAGCCGAAGCATCCGCCAGATGCCCCGTGATTGTGGACAGGTGGGTGTGACGATGAACTTGGCATCTTCCTCCCACTACATGTGTGCATGTGTGTGTGCATATGGATGCAAGTACACCCGTGTGCCTACAAGTGAGCCTGTGTCATCATAGTATCAGAAATAATGTCTGTGACCTATCAATCACACCACTGCCTGGCATTTCCCTAAGGACACAATGTGCGGTGAAACTAAACGCTGCAGCAGTGACTGGCCCAGGTGGATACTGAGCTTCTTCCCGGGGAGAAACGCAGGTCCCAGAAAATGAGGTGATTTGCCACAGTGCCCGAGCTACAGTGACACTCGGGGGACAGCCCCGGGGCCCCGTCTCACAGACCCACGCTCTCCGAGGCTCATCGGGCTCTGGCTCAGTCGGCAAACGTTCACTGGCCGCCCGCGGCAGCTGCTCTCCATGGGGGCTTCCGTGGGAAAGGAGCTGGGGGGGCCCCACTTTCCCGGGGCAGGCTCAGGGGAAGGAGAGAGGGGGGCAGTGGAGAGCATGGACCCGCAGGGTCAGGTCAGAGCACGGGGAGTGTCTGAATGAGGAGGATCCACGGAGACACGCGAGGTGCCGCGTGGGAAGGCCTGTGGGAAGGGGCCCGGGCTGACCGTCCCCAAAGGGACAGACCCGAGCCTCGGAGAGCACCGTGGAGAGAGGGAGCCGTGCGACAGGGCAGAGGGGGGAGAGGGTGACCTCCCTGAGGACCGGAGACAGGCCAGTAGCCTGGGTGCTCTCTGGAGGAAGGGAGAGGGAAGGGCGGGGACAGGGTGCCGGGGTGCGCAGCTGTGGTGAGGGGGGTGGCGGTGATGCTGAGTGCGGCAGGGAGCCAGTGGAAGGTTCTGGATAAAGGAGCACCATCAATGCATGACGTCATTGAGAGTTCACGCACAAGCAGTAGTTTTATGCTGCTACAAAGAAGGGGCCGAGGCAGGTCATCTAGGCCTACCCACAGCGACTTGGTGACAGGGAGGTGACAGTGATGATGAGACCAGCTTCCCTCCCACCAGGCGGGTGCCAGCTCATGCCACGGGCCCCGACACCCAGAGTGCGGGGCGCAGGGGGTGGTGGGGGCGGACCCCGGCACGGGCCGGAGAGGAATTTCAGAGGACGCAGCCGAGTGCGGGAGGGCGGCCAGCGCCCCCCATCCCTCGGGGGGGGTTCTCCCCCAAGAGCTAGTTCCAGCTTTGTTCACCACATGGGAGGGCCGGGGCAGCCAGGAGCCCAGCACAGGGGGAGCGTGAATAGACACGGGCCGGCCTTTACAAACGGAGCGCCGGTCAGCGGTGCACACTGAGCCGCCGGAGCTGTGAAACCTCAGAAGGAGACAACCGAGGGCAGGAGGAGGTTCCCCAGGACGCGGGCCGGGAGGGCGCGGGGCTGAGCACAGAGGGACCGCAGGCGTGAGCGCGGGTCAGGAGCCGGCCGGCCTCGGGGGAGGGGGCCGTGAGGCGGGCGCGAAGGGCGGACGGTACCGGGGCTTTTGTTCTACTGTCCTCTCTGCACTCGCACTTTCTGGGGGGCGGAAAGACAAGCCACCGTGTTGAAGCGTGACCGGCATTCGGGAAAGGGCATGGTTCCCAAATGGAAATCCCAATGAATTTCAAGGAGTGGGCACGTCTGGGTAGAGCCTGCACCCCGCCGTAGACTGGGGGCCCCGTCCAGGCCCGCGAGCCCGCCGCCGCCTCCTCCTTCTGGCCCCCACCCCCCGCCCATCACCGCAGGGGAGGTCCACCTGCTCCTGAACACAGGCAGGGGGCCGGAAGTGCCCTCTGCATGCGACGTCCTCCGCACTGCACGCGAGATTCTTCCTTGGTGTGAGGAGCGTCCGCTAACACACTCCCGCGCACACGCGGGTGCAATCCTGTTGCGTCGAGTCCCGGAGTGGAGCTGGGGGTCTGCGGGGCTCCAGGGTGGGCCTGCTTTATTTAGTGGGTGTTGTGGAAGTGGGGGAAACAATCCAGTCCCCCCCCCCCCACACACACACACCTGCTGGAGAATTAGTTGCCTTAGACGTTCGGCCTAGCCAACCCTCGGCCCTGCCCGCTTAGCCACCTGCTCCAGCTTTTCCTACTCGTGCCGGGGGGCAGCTCAGCCAGTTAAGGGCTTTTTAACTGACCAATCTGGGCAAGGAACGTCTACCCCTCTGTTGACCTATCTTTGTACCCCTTTCTCTGCCTCAGAAACGCTCCGAGAAGAATTCGCCGTGCGTGCTTGCAGAGGATCAGGTGGGGGCGGGGGACCACGGGGAGAACGGCACAGAGGAGGGTGCGGGCCGGCGCCGTGGCCCCAGCCGCCCACCCGCCCGAGGGCCGCTCTGGCTCATCACGGCCAGGCGGCACTTCCCGCTGGCGAGGCGCACGGGGTCCTGGGAAGGGGGAGAAACGCGTCCCTCCCTCCGTGGGGCTCCTTTGCCTGGGTGACGCTTTCGCCCGGTGGCGAAAGTGCCTGATGCCACCGTATCCGCCGTCTCTTCCTTTCGCACGGTCCCCTGTGTCCCTGAGGAGGAGCCCCTGCCCTTCCTGATGGCGGCACAGCCTCGGAAACCCGGGGAGAGTCGTGCGTGAGCCAAGTTGGCCACCCTCGATGGGTTGTTTTTAAAACTGTTTCGGGGCAGGCACAGAGAATCAGAACCCTAAGAGCAAGCCCAGTCGGCCCTCCGGTTCTCCGACGCCCAGCAGAGCAGGCCCTTTCCTGAGCAGCGGAAGGCCGGAGTGGCGCCAGCCCCCCCCCACGAGGCCTGTGCCCCGCTCCCTGGGACTGCTGGGGGTCCGCATCCCCTCCCTGCTGACCCCCAGGCCTGGGGACCGCCAGCCACGGAGGAGTGCAGGGGCAGGCGCTCTGAAAGCAGCCAGTTGCCCTTCAAACCCAAGGCAGTGCCACCTGAGCTGTGGACAGTGTGCCGGCATGTGGCGTTTGATTGGCACTAACGTGGCTCCCCGAGGGGCAGGAGCAGAGGACACTGAATCGGGGAAGGGTGCGGCATCCGTGGCCGGGGGGTGTGGCTGCTTAGGGGCAGCCGCGGTGTTGTCGGCGAGAGAACTCTCCCGGGGAGAGCAGGGCCGGTTCTTCCCGGTGTTTCTTCTCTGTGCCCATGAGTCTGTTCTTCGGAGCCACGCCGTGTCCCGGGGGGGGCCTGGGTGGGCTTGTTCCTGTCCAAAGGGCTCAGTGAAACCCGTTTTAGACAGCACCATTGTCTAGCTTCAGGTATCAGGGAGGCGGTCGTTTTCAGTGGCAATGGTAGGGAAGGTCTGCAGCTGAACCATCCTTATTGCTTTTATTTTATTTTATTTTTTGTTTTGTTTTGATTTTTTAAATTTAATCATTGTTCAAGTACAGTTTTCTTGTCCTTTACTCCCATCTCAGCCCACCCACCCAGCCCTCCCCAGCTCCCTCCCATTCCTAGCCCCCCCAGTTTCTGTCCGTGTGTCTATACTTGTTCCTGTGTACACCCTTCCTCCTTCCCCCTGAAATCCCCCTGACATTCCCTCCCCTCTCCCCTCTGGTCCCTGTCAGCCTGTCCTCTATTTCAGTGTCTTGGGTTCTATTTTGCTTGTTCGTTTGTTTTACTGCATCCTTATTGCTTTTAAAAACCTATTCTTGCTCACGGTTTTTCTGCAGTAAAGAAGACTTTTAAGTATTCTTAAAAGTATTATCAATACTTTCAATGCAGGGGGTGTTACCCTCTGTGTTCACAGGGGGTGTCCAGTCCCCGGGCCTGGGCCCTGTGGAGAGCGCAGGGAACATAGTTGCCCGGTCACCGGCGGGAGGTCACGGGCGGGAGGAGCCCGGCCCTGCATGCCTTCGCTGAGCTCGGGAGATAAGATGTGCCCGATAGAGAAGGTGAACCTACGAGTTTTCAGGGGCAAGACTGACGTAGGCGACCCAGAGGAATGTTCCAGGCAGAACCCGGAGCTGTCAGCTGCAGCGGCCTGAGGAGCTCAGAGCAGGGCACCCCTGGGGGGGGGGGCGGTGGACAGGGCCTTGCGGGGCGGACAGCGTTGGAGGGGATGCACCCCCAGATTAGTTTGTGACGTTTGTCCTTTGCGGGACTGCCTGTCACGTTAACACAAGTTACCATGATGTGGCTTCGGCCGGTAAGAGCTAGAAGCTTGAGCTGGCAGTGGGGGGACAGTGTTTCAGGCACGAGTGTATTTTTGCAGCACCTGTGGGGGAGGAGGCTTGCAGGACCCCCGTTTCCCGGGCGAGGAAGCCGAGACCACCTTGGTTTCCGTGGCTCAGGGACACCCACACAGCAAGCAGGTGGCGGAAGGTAGCACAGTGCTCAGCCCGGGTGACCCCGGGTGTCTGTTCTGCAGGTGCCTGCCAGCCTCACCGTGCAAGCAGTTCAGCCCCGCAACGGTGACGGAGTTCAGGTCCTAACCTTGAAGGCCGGGAACGGAACATGGGGATGGGTGTGGAGCTAGGAGCCCCTTTTTGCCGGAAGGTGTCTGTGGTTCCCTCCCAAGTGTTTGCTGCAGGTGGCTGTCCTTTGGGGCCGGGCTGGGAGCTTTGCACCGAGTCACTGAGTCATAAGCTGTGCCAACAGGTAACATAAACCACACCACCCTCTTGTCCCCGAAGAGCACACAGCGCACGCGCCTGGGGTGCCGGATGGCGCATGGGTTTTGGACGCGGGCGACTGGAGAGGCCTCTCCTCAGGGGGACGCAGGGGCACACACTTGTGAACAGGCAGCTCTGATGTGCAGAGAGCTCTTGGGTGGTGTGCGGTGCGGGAAGGGGCAGGGGACTGGGCGTGGGGGCTTCAGCTGAGCGTGACCCTGAGGGACCCGGGGGGAGTTTGCCAGTGGAGACCCTCACTGCAGCCAGAGGAAGGACTGTGGGAATGGTGCCCCCACCCCACCCCGTGCAGGAGGTGCGGGGGAGGCCCTTGGGCACCCTGAAACAGACGGCTGGTCTGATTTTCTTTTATGGGTGTGACTTTCTGTTCCTTCCCCCAAACACTTGAAAACAGCCCGTTGAGAGGGGCCGGCTTCGCTCAGGGACGACGTCCTGGAGTTTCGTGGGTGGCGTCTGGGTTCGTACCTCCCCCCCTGCCCGACGCAGACGCGCAGTTGCCCGGCTGCAGGGTGGGCATGGACACAGGCTGCTGCCGTGTTCCCAGAACGGGACCTCCCTGGGCAAGTTCAAGTGTGAAACCAGGCAGGCGGGTGTTCGTCCGGCCACGGCACAGCAGGACGCTCGAGGGCTCACACACGCGCCCCCCGGCCCCGCTGTTCTGCCTTCGCAGAGGAGCGCACGGTGGAGCCCCACCCTCAGCCCGGCTTCCACGGAGCCGCTGGCTCCGTGAACAGCCCACCGCCTTCTCAGTGTGGCCGTGGGTTTTATCCTTTCCATTTCACAAATGCTTCCAATAAGCAAGAGTTAGCTTATTTGATGGATACAATGCTGGGAAAATGTGAGCAGAGTCATCTCTGGGTTCAGCATCCTCAGGGGCTGATTTTCTCATCCTCTGGGCCTGCCTTGGTTTCTTCTGCAGACGGGGACCTCACCCCTCCTTCCCTTCTCAGGTACTGGCACAGCACGGCCGCCTACGCCATCGCCACCGAGGTGAGCGGGGCTGTCCGTCACCTGCCGCCGGCCCAGCACCCCGTGTACCAGTGGCCGAGGGACCTGCTGCGGCCCGACCTGGTCCTGCTGCTCACTGTGAACCCCGAGGAGCGGCTGCGGAGGATCCGGGACCGGGGCCTGGAGAAGACCAGGGAGGAGACGGAGCTGGAGGCCAACAGCATATTTCGTCAGAAGTAGGTATCTCCGTGCGGCACCGTGAGTGACAGGGGTCCCCGGCCGTGGCGGGGGCCAGGAAGGCCACCGACTTTGGGAATCTGGCAAAACGATCTTGTTTCTGTTTTTCAACCCCAAGGGCCAGTAGTCTCCAAGTGAGTTCAGCTGCTTCCAGCGGGGTGGCCACATGGGGCTCCAGCACCACGGGATGTCCCCGGGGGGGCAGCACTTCCTAGCCCCCCTCCCCATACCTGAGAGGCCAACACACGAGTGTGGGGGGTCCCGGCTCCCCCCTCGGAGCACCGTGACCGCAGCGCGCTGTCTGCTGAACTCGGGGACTCGGCCTGCTCGCCGCCCCTGCGCCAGGCCTGCTGGACGAGAGGCTCTGTCCTCCCCGCGAGGACGGCGGCCGCGTCCTACAGTTCGCCCATCCGAGGCCCAGAGAATTCAGTGGTCGGTCTGCATTTGCATAGGCCCTCATCGGAGGCAAAACTGGGATTAAAACCAAGCTCCTTCTGGCGCCAGGCGGTGGTCTTGTGCTCACGGGAAAGCAGGAGCGCCCCAGTGCACCCCTCCCCAGTGCACACCCCCCCTCCACCCCGGGGCGCGGGAGCCCATGCTGTGGGGCGGGCTGCAGAGGCCGCGGCAGAACGGCTTACGTAAGCGCACACTGACAGCACAGTCACCCCGACACGCAGCCGTCACAGCGTACACAGGGAGCAGCCCTGCCGCGTGCGGAGAAACCTCGTCACGCGCTGGGCTCGCGTCCAGCCGTGGGCCCTGGTGACGGACTCCCAGGGCAGGCGTTGCCTGGGTCCTCGTTTCACAGAGGGGGCGGGGCCTGGAAGCCCCATGCCGTCCACTTCAGCCACGCCACTGTGCATGCGTACGTGCGTGCGTGGAGGGGCTGCACGGGGCAAGGGGAGAAAGGGAGCCCCGGCCATGGGTGGGGAGGCTCCGCGGGGAACACGCGTGTGCGCGGGGCCTCTGGCTCGTGTCATGCCTGGCTCGTCGGAAACGCTTCAGGACCCAGACTGCAGAGACGCTCGCCACGGGGCAGGTCACTCCACCTCCTTGGGCCTCCGCTGCTCTGTCTGCAGAATGGGGGGGTGGGGGGTGCCGGTGCTCCCTCCCTGCGGCCCCCTCTGAGCACCAGACGGGGAGGATCACGCAGGATCCTGCTGCGTGGCACACGGTGGGCGCCCGCCGTGCCCGCCGTAACCGGGGCCGCCGGCGGATCGTGCGCTGAACGCGATGCGTCGGGCGCGTCCTGGGGCAAAGCCGGCGGCCCAGGGAGTGCGTGGCCAACCAGACGGGGGCTGCAGGCCCCGGGGCTTGGACCGCGGCGGGCAATGCCAGGGCCGTGGGGCGCTGCGTTGAGGGGCGTGCCAACCCTTCCCTTCTGCCGGCCCGCAGGGTGGAAGAGTGCTACCGGCGGATGGACAACCCCGGCTGCCGGGAGGTGGACGCCAGCCCGCCCCGCGAAGAGGTCCTGCAGACGGTGCTGAGCCTGATCCGGACCAGCTGTGGCTAGCGGCGGAGCCCCGGGCCCACGGACACGTGGGACCGAGCGTGGCCTTGTTCCCCACGTCTCCGCCCACGGCCGGCTGTGCACGTTTCCCGATGGCTGCTGCGTAACCCTGTCGTGTGGCAGGAGACTGGGGACCGGACATTCCACTTCATGTCAATCACTGTATTGCTTCTGACCCATGGGCCCCTGTAGCTGTAGACTGGTCACATTCTAGGGAGAGGCGGGGGGTGGCTTTCTGCCTAGTGTAACCCACATTTTCTTGGGATGTATTTTAGCTACTTCCTCCCCAAAGGCCTCCCAGGTTCTTGTCCCCCGGAAGGCATGTGGTGTGTGCGGCCATCAGTAAGGTGTTCCCACTCCACAGACGCCCCACCCCGGCCTCTGCCAGGCCGCCGCCCCTCCCTGGCTCCACGAGGAGACCTCAACACGGAGGGGTGACGGCTTTCCAGCCTGCCCGCACCCCGTCCGTCCTCCTGACTTAGCCAAGCACTCCCGCAGACCCGGCCCTGTGTCCCGGCTCCCACGGCGCTGGGCTGTGGGTCGGGGACACCTTCCCAGAAGCCATCTGCCCACTGGCTGCCCCCAAAACCCTGACAGGGTCCTCTCCTCAGCCCTCTCGAGTCCACCGGGGAGACAGCCGGCCCACGACCCTCCCAGGACAGATACACCCGCCCTCCTGGAACTGGTTCTGCTCACTTCGACTCCCGTCCTTCCTCTGCGAACAGGCCTTGGACACAGTGTGTGTTCTGCCCTGCCCCCGCCCCCGCCCCTGCCCCGGGTGCGGTGCACTCCGCCGACGCAGCAGCGGTGCATTTAGACGGTGTTTCCCTGTCGTGCAGGGACGGTGGGTCACTGGCTGCAGTGCCAGCCAGCGGGGGAGCTGAGGCGATGCCCGCTCCGTGCTTTCCCTCCACAGTGGACTGAGTTTGTCTTCCTGAGTGGAGCCTAGACTGAGGACTCTCGGTGAATTCTCTCGCACGTGAGAGTCCGCTGGCCGCACGTGGAGTCAGGGTAGAGATCTGTGTGGCTGGAGAACAGCCGCTCGGAGGAGGGGACCTTGACAGTTCTGTGGCCTTGGGCGAGTCCTGTAACACCAGCAGCCCGGGCCACTGGGTCTGCAGTGGGAGAACGACTCTCCATTTGTCCTAAGGAGGTGGCCGGACCAGGCGGGTACCTCCAGTCTCCTCCAGTTCTCAGATGGGTGAGCCTGTAAATTGCTTAAGTCCCCATCGGGGTTATAATATGGGATCCTAAATGACAATGGAGTTTAGCGTTAGCTACAGCATACTCGTGTTCAAAAGGACAGCAGGTGATTCATACACGACCTATCCGTGTGTATAAATATGTAATCGATTCCAGTTGAGAACGTTTCTGAGGCTGATAAGCAGTGTCGGGGTTCTTTGGGGGGGGCACCTGGCGATGTGACTGGGGTGGACCCGTCAGGCGGCCTGGGGGGCCGGCTGCCTGGCGGAACACGCATTGACGGCCTTCCCTGGGGGCCTCGCACACCAATAAACTCTCTGTGTTTTCTGATCTGAGCCGTGGTCACACGTGTGTGTTGGTTTCCTGAGGGTGCCCCTGCAGTGCGGCTCTGGGGTGGGGGCCGGGGATTGGGGCAGGGAGCGGGGAGGCACAGGCTCCCGGGGCCAAGTGACCTGGGAGGCAGGGAGGCCGCTGGGGAGAGTGCAGGCCCCTCCTCACCGCACATGCCAGTGGGGTCGTCTCCCCACCCAGTGAGACCTGATTCTTCGGGCCCTTGGGCCCTTCCCACACCGCTAGGTGTGTGATCTGTGAGTCTGGGACGAGAGGGCGCCCCTCACCCTGAAACTGATGACAGGGGCCGTCTGCCTGGCTGTTTTGCGACAAGGTGAGCTTCGTTTCCGTCCCTGTGCCAGACCTCTCGCTGGCCCAAATGTTTATTCTCCCTTGCCGCCACGGTGACAGGCTGTTTTAGCTGCACACACAGCTGCTGAGGATTAGGAGAACGTTTCCAAGGCTCCTTACGTCTGCAGTGGCCACCTAACCACTTCCAGGGTCTCCCCTAACCGGGGCGCAGAGGGGCGATGGAAGGCCGGGGCAGGGGGTGACCCTCTCCCCTCCTCACGTTCACACCGGTGGGAGAGCGAGCCATCGGGGTGGTGGGGCAGGGCTGAGGGCGGCAGCTTGGAGGTGGAGAAGCAGCAGGATGAAGGGAGGTCGCCCTGGCTCAGGGAGAGCAGCCGGGGACCAGGTGTGACGTGTCTGGGGTCCTGCCTTCCTGACAGCGGGCCCGCCGACCGCCCGGGACAAAGTGTGAAGGGGACACAGGGGCGCAGAACGCCCACCTCCGCCTGCTGTGCTCCTGCCCACCCACCCGGGGTGCTGGGTGTCCACACCGGCTCGGGGGGACTGACAGGAAGTGGGTGCACTCCTGCCACTGCTCTCAGGCCTGCCTGGCCGCCCAGTGCCGGGGCCACCGGTCCCACTCGGCCAGACACTCTGACCCAGTCACCGTCATCGACGGCTGACATCCAGAGTCTTGTGAGCACTAGTGGCACACACGGCGTCCCCCTGGGACCTGCGTGTGGCATCTGCTTTGCACATTTCACTGTTGACACTGAAATTGTAAGGAAGGGCGTGTGGGGAGAGCCCGTGACGAGTGTGCTCCGTGTGACCCCCACTAGGGGCCGGCTCTTTCTCTCCAGTTTGTTGCAGGAGGCGAGGGCGGTGAGGGGGGGCAAGTGCCCCGAGATTCCATGGGGGGGGGTGTGAGGCGGGGGGAAGGGCCCCGGTGTTCCCACTTCCCGAGCTCCCCACTCTGCTCTGCGTGTCACCCCTTCCCCGACGGTGCGCAGACCTGTGCCCCGGAGAAACCACGGAGACCCCCTTTCATTTTAATCTGAATGTCTGTTCGGGAGGGAGAGCGGAGGAGGAGCAAACGCAGGGCCTTTCTGGGTCGGAGGAGCAAGTCTGTAGAAGCGGCTGACTTCTGGCTTCAGGAATTCTAAGTACAGCCCCGGGGTCAGAACAGCATTCCAAGAAAGACCCGAGTGATCCCAGGACTGGCTGTCTTTCTTTAATGACTGTGGGATGCGGGCCGTCTGGCAAGGAGCAAGGCAGGCCGGGGCCAGGGTCAGGCCGTTTGTGGGGAGCAGATGAGAGACTAAAGCGTTTCCCCGGCTTTTTCCAGGGGCTCTTTGTAAAGCAAGGGACGGCCAGCACCCCCCAGGTCCCCAGCACCGCACAGGCCCCCGGCCCGTGAGTGTGCATTTGAGCCCTTACGAGGCTGCACATTCGCTTTCCTCCTAGCTCATGACCTACGGTTTGAGAGGTTTACAGCGTGGGGTCTGGCATGAAGGAGCCTTCTGGGGCTTTTACACGTCCTTGTTGATTTGCTCTTAAAGCCTCCCCACCTCCCACCCCCCGCCCCTACGTGGTGCCGGTGCTTACCTGGGGGACAGCTAATGGCTTCCCCTGGGGCTGAGCCCTGCCCAGGACTGACCAATCCCTGAAACACCATGGTGTAGATTTCCCATCGTCACCCTCCTGTGAAGTCCCCCAAGTGTGTGTCAGCGTGTGTGACATTGACGTGTGGGTGCTCATGGGGCCCTGGTCGGAGGTGCCACCATCTCTCTCTCTCTCTGGGACAACCAGGGCTCTGAGTGAGCTGTTTCTCTGCACCGTGGGCTGGGCCTGGCCCGCAAGCTCCTCTGACTGTGGTGCCTTCGTGTTTACCTTTGAGGTAGGAAAGGTGGTTCTTTGGGTTCTCTTTTTAAAAAAGAGTTTATTTCCAGAGAGAGGGGAAGGGAGAAACAGAGGGAGAGAAACATCGATGCGGGAGAGAAAAAATCATCACTCGGTTGCCTCTCATACGTGCCCTGACCGGGGACCGAACCCACCACCCAGGCCTGTGCCCTGACCCGGAATCTGACGGGCGGCCTTTCTCTCTGCAGGAGAACGGCCAACCAACTGAGCCACACTGGGCACAGCTATTATTTGAGTTTTAATTGGGGAAAACAAAAACAAATCTCCTATGTGAACATTGTTTAAAACAAACAGCCATCAACAAACGTTTACTTTTTTGAGGTGATAGAAAAATATTTTCTTCAGCCAGAACTTGTGTTAAGGATGTTTCCTCGTGCCTCTGAACATTCTGAGTAGCAGCTCTGGTCTGCTTCCACCTGGGGACGGTTTGTGGAGGTGACAATTAGGACCAAGGCTGGGGAGAGGGGAGATGCACTTACAGAGTGAACTGTGGGCCGAACTGTGGGCCTCCTTTGAATAAGAAATTACTACACTTCCCTCTTCTTTTTAAAGATTTTATTTATTTATTTTTAGAGAGAGGGGAAGGGAAGGAGGAAGAGAGGGAGAGAAACATCAGTGTGTGGTGGCCTCTCACATGCCTCCCCACTGGGGACCTGGCCCGCAACCCAGGCACGTGCCCTGACTGGGAATCAAACCGGCCACCCTTTGGTTCCCAGGCCGGCACTCAGTCCACTGAGCCACACCAGCCGGGGCTACACGTCCCTCTTTTGTGAGCATAAACACAGAGCATAAACACAGAGCAGCGTGTGACAGGCCCCCGGCTGCCGGCCCACCTGCCCGCAAGTCCCGGCCGAGCGGCTGTCACTTCACATGGGCTGCTGCGTTTGCAGCACACGGGCCGGAAGACCCCTCCCCCCCAAACACACACTTCTAGCCGGCAGGACTTTATAACTGCAGAGTGAGTGCGGCTCGCCGATAGTCCCGAGTCCTGCATGATTCTTAACAAGGTCATAACACAGGTGTGCAGTTTTCAGACCGTTTTGTTCTGTTCCAGTAACCTGGGAGGGTCTGGTGTTGCTCCATAAGGTGTCGCAGAAGGCACGGGCTCCCCCAAGCCTTCAGGGAGTTAGTGTTTTACAGGCACCATTCGCTTTACGCTCCCCAGGGAAAGCTAAGGACAGACAGGTGAGCGCCTCTCCTCCCGCCCACTGTCCCCCCGGGAAGAGCCCAGGCACCTGGCCAGGGGCATTTCACCGGCCCTCTGCTGCCCCCTGCAGTCCAGCTCTTGTGCGGCACCCAGCGCCGTCCCTCCCTCCAGGGCACCAGTTCAGGGTCTTTCTGCTGGTCGGCGGTCTCTGTGGGCGTGGCTCCCAGGAGGGGCCGTTCCCAGTCCTCCGTCCAAAACGCCTTCCATCGCCCTCTCCCCTCCCCCGACTCACACCACCGCCGGCCCCCACGCATGGCCGCCCCGCACCCACGTCTGCGTCAGCGTGTCCGTCCGTCACATCTGTGCCCCGCCCACGCCCACGCCCAGAACCGCATCCTGCCCAGGCCCATCCCTGTGTCCGCGGCGGCATCTGTAGCCGTGGCTGTGAGTACGTGTCCACGTCCACATCTGTCATTATACACACACACACACACACACACACACTCCCACACACACTCACAGCCCCCCCACCCCCCCAATACACACCCCACACACATACCCACACACACACCCCCCACATACACACCCCCACATACACATACACACCCACACACACATACCCACATACACACCCTACACATACACCCCTACACACACACATATACCCACACACACCCTACACATACACCCCTACACACACACACACTCCCACACACACTCACAGCCCCCCCACCCCCCCAATACACACCCCACACACATACCCACACACACACCCCCCACATACACACCCCCACATACACATACACACCCACACACACATACCCACATACACACCCTACACATACACCCCTACACACACACATATACCCACACACACATCCACACCCAGACACATCCACACACACCCTACACACACACCCTCACCCTACACACACACACACCCACACACCCTACATATACACACACTATAATCCCCCCATACACCCACCCTACACACACCCACCCCCCCACACACACCCCCTCACCCTACACACACACATATACCCACACACACATCCACACCCAGACACATCCACACACACCCTACACACACATACCCTACATACACACATACACACACACACACACACACTCCCACACACACAGCCCCCCACACCCCCATACACACCCCACACACACATACCCACACACCCCCACACACACACACCCCCCACACCCCCCCCCCACACACCCCCCCCCCACACACATACCCACACACACCCTACACATACACCCCTACACACACACACATACCCACACACACCCCCCACACACACACATACCCACACACAGCCTACACACACCCTCACCCTCACCCTACACACACACACCCCCCCCACATACACATACACACCCCCCACACCCCCCCCCCACACACCCCCCCCCCACACACACCCACACACCCTACATATACACACACTATAATCCCCCCCCCCATACACCCACCCTACACACACCCACCCCCCCACACACCCCCTCACCCTACACACACACATATACCCACACACACATCCACACCCAGACACATCCACACACACCCTACACACACATACCCTACACATACACACACACACACATACCCACCCCCCCGACACATAC